TATTCCAGAGGATCCAATGCCCTCTTCTGACCTCTGTATTCACCCAGACAAACATATAGAAAATAAGATAAAATAAATGAATAACATTTTAAATCTACATTTGAAAATAATAGCTTTAAAAATAAGACAATTCATAGTTTTACGAAGATCTCATTCACTCACACGTATGCAATTCATGTTTCACTCCCATACTGTGGCTTTAGTCCCCTGGGTCACACGAACCTCACCATGACATGACCAGGTTGTCACCACTCCTGGGAGCCTGCCAAAGAATGGGCCCGTGGGGTCACAGGGTGACCTGGAGCAGCTGGCAGACTGGTGGAGGGTCTTAGCTGTCTTAGCAGGCATTTGTCATTGCTGCCATATCGGCGAGAAGGAGATGGTCTCTCCTTGTGTTTTCAATGTGTGTCTTCATCTCTTACAGGCTCCCTAGTGGAGTCATTGTCTGTGCATTTGGGGCGACTGTGTACACTATGAACTGGAAGGTAGATCTAGTGCAGGGTAGCTCAGCAGATAAAAATTCGTAATGTGCAAGCCGACACCTCGAGTTCAATCCCAGGAACCCAGCGTGGAAGGAGAGACTTCACTCCAGAGAAGCTGTCTGTTGACCTCCACATGCCGTGACATGTCCTCCCTCACCGCTGGTGGTGATGGTGGTGGTGATGAAGGCAGACCTGTCCTTCAATGTGCATTTAGTGGACACTCCAGCCATAGAGATCAATTGTCTCCAGGGAAATTAAAACACAGAACTGTGTTCTCCTGATGAGGTATGTCTGGAGAACTGAGAACTCATTAAAATCCAGTGTGGGGTCTGGAGAGATGGCTCAGCGTTAAGAGCACTGCCAGCTCTTGCAGAGAGATCTGGTTTCAATTCTTAGCATCCACATGACAACTCACAGCCAACCGTGACCTCAGTTCCAGGGGATTCAATGCCTTCTTCTCTCTGTGGGCACCGGGCACACACATGGTACCCGGGCATGCATACAGACAAATTACTCGTACATATAAAATAGCAATTTTTAAATCTCACAAAATCCAAACTGTTCCTGCACAGTGGTGCATGCATGGGATCCTAAGCCTTCAGGAGGCTGAGGCAGGAGGGCTGCAAGTGTAGGATCAGCTTTAGTTATACTTTGAGACCCTGGCTCAAAAAAAACCAAAAAGCTTCAGTGGGTTATAAAAATGGGATGTGAAGGTAAAAAGCGGCATGGGGGAATTGGAGCAATATGATCATGATCCATCGTGTTTGTGTGTGAGGTCAAAGAATTAACTTCAAATGTCCCTTAAGAAACTCAAGTGTTCAGTAATTGCATTGATATGTTTTTACATGTCTGTTGTGTAGATAGCACGAGACAAAGCCAATGAAAATCTGAAACATCTTTATTATTTCTCCTCCTCCTCTTCTTTCCTTCCTTCCCTTCTTACTTTCTGTATGATGAGCATTTTGCCTTCATGTATGTCTATGCTTCGCATGTGTGCCTGGAAGTTAAAAGAGGGCATCACAACCCACAGAACTGAGCTTAAGGGTGATTGTGAACCACAATGTGGGTGCTGGTAACTGAATCTGGGTCCTCTATAAGAACAGTGAGTGCTCTTAACCACTGAGCCATCTCTAACAGCCGCGTCTTGGCTCCTTGGCAAGCAGAGAAGCAGCTGAAAGAAAATAAGCCATGTCCAAGGATTCCAGGATGCACTGAGCAGATTCCCAAGAGTAAAAATTGTGCCACCCTGAGCATCGGTGAGGAATCTGACATTAGTGAAACACATACATCAAATGCCCATAAACCTATAATAAGCTCATTGCTGTCTCCAGATTGCCATGATGTGGGCTCAGTGCGCAGGCGCCTGGCTACCTTCCTTTTACTGCACTGTGTGGATACTGATAAGGGACGTTTTTCTTCCCTGGAAGTGTCCAGCTAGGGCTGGAGGGACGGCTCTACTGTTGAGAGCACTTGTTGATTTTCCAGATGTTCAGTCCCCAGTACCCATCCAGTCTCGTTTGGGTCTTGATTTCAGTCAATAAGACAGGGAAGGTAGATTTGGTTTTTCTGGGTCCGGTTTTTCTGGGCTAGTGTAGGGAGACATCTGCTGGTCATTGTTTTAAAAGCTTTTTTGCTATAGAAAAGTTTTAAAAGGGTATGTAAAGCAAACAGGATAGCATACTGCTCCAGCCCGTCTAGCCACTATATTGTCATATGGACCTCCACCTCTCTCTATCCAGCTCCGTCATTTTTTTGGTTCCGTTTGGTAAGAGTTGATCAAGCACACCCAGGCACACACACACACCACACACACTAGTGATGTGTCTGCGGCTAGCTGACTCACAGCTCTATCGAGTCAGAAAGTTTCCATCACTGCGCAAATGTCCTTCCCCCAGCAGCCCCCACCGGGTGACAATTGTTCCGAGTGTCCACTGTAGATTAGCTGTGCTCACCCCAGACAGTCACACAAATGCCATCGCATGGTGCATGCCCTTTTGCATCTGGATTCTTTCACAATGTCCGGGAGGGTCTTCCACGCTCTCTCGAACCCTTTACTTTGCTTTTATTGCTACGTTCAGTCTTCAGTGCAGATGGGCCACATCCATTCTCCGGTTGATGGGTCTTTGGACTGTGTCCAGTTCTAGGCCATTCTGAATGAAGCCGTGCATGGGCTGAACTTGGTGTTCCAGTCTTTTGTGGGCCTGGGTTTACATCGCTCTTGTGTAAATACTTAGGAGTGAAGTGCTGATCAAAGGCTATAGCTGTGGCTGACTTCATTAGACACTGCCAGACTCCCTTCCCTGCCAGCAGCGGACATGGAGCTCAGCCACATTTGCTGGTGTCGGTCACCTGACCTCTTCTAGTGAAATCTTCATATTTTTTTTATTCCCTTTCCCTGATAACCAATTGTCTCGAATGCTGTGTTCAGTGATCATTTATCTATTTTCCTTTGTAACAAGGTCCAGTTAAGTCTTTTGACCAATTTTTAATGTTTTTCTTATCACTGAATTCTCTCTCTCTCTCTCTCTCTCTCTCTTTCTCTCTCTCTCTCTCGTGTGTGTGTGAACCAAGGATCAGCTTGTAGGGTTTGCTTCTACCACGTGGGGCCCAGGGATCAAACTTGGAGACAGGTTTGAACTGGGAAGTCCTTTGCTCAGTGTGCATATTCCTTTAAATAATGCATCTGACTTAATTATACGCATGCCCAAATGTGCGTATGAAGTCAATAGGGGATTCTCCCTCACGTTCACTCAGAGGACAGTTTGCCTCACTGTCCGTGCACCCAAGCCACTGCAGGGGCGATCGGTGTCTCCTCCTCTCACCTCAGACACAACTGCAGGGAGATGAATGGAGTCTACCACTGAATGGCTGTTAGGAGAGATACATCCCATTGTTCAGGGTGTGTGCCCACAGTCCGGTGCTTGGGGTGCAGGTCAGAGTTCCTAGTTTGCTAAGAGGTGGTTGGTGCATTGTTCAGAGATAGGTGTGTGCGCACAGCGTGTGCAGATCAGGGCCCCAGGCTGTCAAATGCATCATTATGAAGGCAGTGTGTTTGTAGCCCGAACCAAGCAGAGTCCTGGGTTGCCACTCTGTTCCCTGTGCTTGCTGCCTCACCTTGAGGCAGGGTTTCTTGATGATCCAGAAGCCAGCCATTTCAGCTGTGCTGACCAGCCCACAGTAGACAGTGCCATTGCTTGGCACATGGGTCTGTCTGGGCTGCTTCAGGACCTGAGCAAGCTAGTAAGGAGTACTTCTCCATGTCTCTGCTTCAGTTCCAGCCTCTAGGTTCCTGCCTTGACTTCCCTCAGTGATTATAGCCTGTAAACCAAGTCAAACCTTTTGTCCTCCATCTTACTTTGGTCTCAGCAACAGAAAGCAGATTAAGAAACCGACCCATCTCTCTTCTAGGGATTCCAAGGTGAATTCAGTTAACTCTCATCAAGAACAGAGCCAGGAAGCAAGGCCTAGGTCGGGCTGTGTTCATTCCAATTTTTATTTTCTGTATGTGTGTATGTGCATGTGTGAGTGTGGGGGGATGGGTATGCACATGTGTGTGCATGCATGTGAAAGCCAGGGAACAACCTGTGTTCTGCAGGAGTCGTCCACTCTGGGCTGTCTGTTTATCAGGATAAACTCTCCTGACAGTTGTCCATTAGCAATCTCTTTGAAACGGAATTTCTCACGACCTGGTATGCAAGGGTCAGGCTGTCGGATCTGCCTATCATTGTGTCCCACGTGTGGGACTCGATGTATGTGCCGTCATTCCCGGCTTTTCCACATGAGTCCTGGGCCTCATGTAGGTCTTCATGGTTGCACCGAGACATCTCAGCTCCTAGGCTGCTCTCAAGCCTGGCTCTGCCTTTTAGCAGACCTTGGCTGTGGTTTGTAACATCCCCCAGTTTCCTCACCAACCTCAGCAGAATAACAAACTCAGAATTAATATGAGATGAGACACTGCAAGCCAAGTCTTTAGAATGGTATCACACACAATAGGTTCTGGGTTTCTGCCAGATGCCACTGCTGTTTACACACACACCCACCCACCCACACCCCTCCCCCGTGTGCTTATTAATGGTGACTATGTTCTGAGAATTAGTCAATTTTAGTCAGAATTAGTTAGTTTTGTTACTATAAAAGCTTTATAGACCGGTCCATGGTAACCCACTGCAGGCCTGGTCTACATGGCATAGCCTGTGAGCCCCATATGCATGCACATATGTGCACACACATTGGCTCCACACCCACATACGGTATTACCTTACTGATGCTGTGGTCAGTTTCGACACAACGGTGAGTATTTGTGAATCCAAGCATCCCTAAGCATGGAAAAGCATGCTAAAGACATGGTGGAAATTTGTTAGCACTACCATCACCTCAGCCCGTTACTGTTCCAGGGTCTGGCATCTGTTTCGTTGCAGGCACTAGACTCGCGGTAGACATTTCTAGATAAGTGACCTGCAGAGGAATGTTATGTTCCCACAGAAAGAAGAAGTGAGGAAACGACACATCCGTCTGCACATGGAAGGGACGCTCACTGCCAGGGACAAGGTCGGAGTGCAGGACTTTGTGCTACTGGACGCCTACACCAGCGAATCCGCCTTCCTGGAGAATCTTCGCAAGCGATTCAGAGAGAACCTTATCTATGTACCGTAACCATTCCCATTCCCCCCCCCCCCCCTGTGCACAGCCTGGATGACCTTGAATGACCTCACCACAAAGGGCACGTAGGGGATGCTCTCCACCCAGCCGGGTAGAGATAGGAGTAACTTAAACCACCCTATGCCACAAGAGATACTCCATCAATTTACCTAACTGGAGAATCCAGGAGCAGTCTAGGGTTTCAGGCGGCCACTGCTCTGCTCTGCCTTTCTTCCTGATGCAATTTCTCTTGGCTTAACAACAGGATAGCAGCCAGTCCCCGAGTGGGCATCTGGGCATTAGCTTCACAGACATCTCCCTGAGCACTGGTTGAACATGCAGGGCGAGCTTGCTTCCCTGCGCTCCAAAGCCCCGCGCTAGCCTCCCATTGCCAGCACCTCTCCAGACTTCAGCTGGTGACTCTGCTCAGATTCACACTGTGTTCATGTTTGTGATCTAACCCCTACCAAAGATCCCTTGGAAGGCAGTCACAAACAAGCAAAGCACTTAATGTCTTAATGCAGAAACAAAAATATTTGGAGCCGGGCGATGGTGGCGCACGCCTTTAATCCCAGCACTCGGGAGGCAGAGGCAGGCGGATCTCTGTGAGTTCGAGACCAGCCTGGTCTACAGAGCTAGTTCCAGGACAGGCTCCAAAGCCACAGAGAAATCCTGTCTCGAAAAAAAACAAAAATATTTGGGTCCCTTTGAAAGTAAGTGGGGCGCTCTCAGATTCTGAATTTGCTGTGTCTCGCAGCACAGAGGGGCAGATGTCTATGTCAAGCACTCAGATCGTTGCTGACAAGATTTTTAATCACTAGGACAAAAATCAACTGTGGATCCAGGAGAGAGAAGAGCATTCTGATAAAAAAACATTCTCCGCTACTTTAATCAATGTAACCAGAGCTGTGAGGGTGGGAAGTTGTACCCAGTCTTAGGGTCAGTCCTGATGACCTTGTGACCCCGTGTCATTTCCACTTTGCCTATACAGAAAGTGTGTTTCCATTTTATAATCAAGGGTGATGATTCTGAAGGTCAGGATAAAACATACAATTTAAGAAATATTTTTTTCTAGTAACCTTGGTATCAACACCCTGAATTATAACATATAATACAGTATATACAACATATATAGTATATACACACACCATATAGTATAATACATATAAATATATATAGTATATATACACACTTTATAGTATGTATACACGTGCACACTAAAATGTAAGACAAATATTTTTGTTTCTGTTGAGATCCTGTCCCCTCCTCAATGGAAACTCCCGGAAGCCCTGTAGCTAATTCGCCTTCCCACGCGTTGCCTTCTGCACACCTCTGAACATGACACTATTTGTACACAGAATTCCTCACGTGTGGTGTGGTCCCTTCCTTCAGACATACATCGGGACCCTGCTTGTGTCCGTGAATCCGTACCAGGAGCTGGGGATCTACACTGCGAGCCAGATGGAGCTTTATCAAGGGGTTAACTTCTTTGAGCTACCACCACACGTGTAAGCAGCTGCCTTTTCCCCCCACTGTATATTTTTCCCTCTCTCTTCCTTCTTCATATCTGTCTGTCCATACGTCCGTCCATCAGTCCATCCTCCGCCTCCGTGAAGGACGCTCCTTGGGTCCTGTACTCTTGCATGCAGAAGCAGTAGAAAATGTTAGGAGGAGGGGGCTTTGTGGAGCCTCAGAAATGTGAGTGGCAAGAGAGTCATCTTCTCTGGGATGTGGCTACTGTGGCGCCACCTGCTGGTGCTTGAGAGTCACTGCAGCTAAGGACCCGTTGGATCTGATCCTGAGCAATTTTCTTGCCTGGTTGGCACACTGGGCTTTACTCAGCTTCCCGCTTCCCTCTACTGCTAACTCTAGGCTAGTTCTCCCCTTAGGTGTCTTGGAGGCAAAGCCTCCTCTTAAAATATCTACATATTTCCCCTCAGGACCACCAGTTGTTCCACCACTGAGCCCTGAGCTTGCCATCTTAAGTTTCGCTTATGATCCCAGGAATAAAATGCCCGTGGTAGTCTCACCTCACGGGCTGATAGTATCGGAGTTTTTAATCTCTAGTTTCCCCTGCACTTCAGGTGTTGAGGAAAGAGAAAACAGCGTTTTATCATATTTATAGAGCTATTTAATACTTAGACAAAATGTTTCTACCTACAGTTAGTAGAATGTTTCACAGGGGTGTGATTTAGGCTTATTCCCCAAAGAAATGTAAATAGATTTTTTTTTAAAAAGGAAATTTGGTGGAGCTCGATGTGTGTTTAATGGTAGACAGTATGTTTGATTCACTACTGTTGCTGGGATGAGCTATCACGGCAAAAGCAACTCAGAGGACAAAGGGTCAATTCTGCCTCACGGGTGAAGGCTAAGGAGGCAAGAGTGGGAATCAGCTGGTCACAGCACATCCGCAATCGCAATTGGGAAGCAGAGATACTGTATCCTCACTACTGCTCAGTCTTCCCAAGATTCCAGGCACGGCATAAGTGGTGGGCAGACCTTCTCCCTCAGTCTCCCACAGACCGGCCCACATCCCAGATGATCCTAGGTTCTGCCATGTTTGCAGTTACCACCAACTATCACACAGGTAGATTCCGACAAGGTGCCCCTTGCCTTTGACTCTGTCACGGAAGTTTGTCATCAGTGTTCTCTGTGGCAGACCACTCAGACGAACCCTGCAGAGGGGTTTTTCTGAGGTGCTACAGTCTCTCTGTGGCCTCCCAGAGACAGGGTATCTGGTCTTTCTGTCCAGGGCAAGTGAGCAGCATTAAGAAGCAGTGTGCTTCCGCCCACTCTTCCCCTAGCTATGCCATCGCCGACAATGCCTACCGCATGATGTGCTCAGAGCTAAACAACCATTTCATCCTCATCTCTGGAGAGAGCGGGGCTGGGAAGACAGAGGCCTCCAAGAAGATCCTCCAGTACTTCGCAGTGACCTGCCCAATGACGCAGTCACTCCAAATAGCCCGAGACAGACTGCTGCTGTCCATCCCAATTCTGGAGGTGAGTGGCCTTAAGGACCTCTGTGGGAACTTCCAGGAGGCCCCAAGGAAAAGGAGCCCTTTGTCTATGCGCAGCAGTAAAAATAGGCAAGTGAGTACTGAGAAAGAGGGGTTTGACAGGCGCTGTCACAGGGAAGGACATGACCCTGAAGTGAGGCGGGCAGGTTCGGATGTAAGCCCCAGCAGCCTCAGCAAAGCCCTCTGGCCCAGAGCTGTCTTCCCAGCTGGGGAAGGTGCTGGGGTCTCCAGAGGCCTTGGGCTGGGGGCATGAATGACAACGGCACACGGGATTAGTATCTCCTGCTAACTGAAATCATCTGGATTGTCACTGCTACCATGGCAATGCACCAACCTGCGCCCTGCGTGCCTGTCCTGTCTGTAGGAGATGCTCAGCTACAGCGGTTTGCAGCTGGCCCTTGGGTGTGAGGCGGGTGTAGCGATAGCTGCCAGTCGCGCACACTGAAGCCACACACACTGTCCTGGGTGGTTTCTAATAGCTCTCCTCTGAGATTCTAGTGGGACACCCCCCCCCCCCCGCTTTTCCTGTGTCCAAATACAGCGTTAGAATTGGCTCCTCTGTGGCTAGGGACCATTTTTAGAAGATAAATGTGGTTTCCCTCTTTAGCCCCTCCCACCGCCCTCCATTTTCAAGACGAGCGTGTTGTTTGGGGGCGGGGACTTGCCAGGCTTGGTGAGCCAGAGTGACACTGTGTGACATTTGTATTCAAAGGCTTTTGGAAATGCCAAAACCCTCCGGAACGACAACTCCAGCAGGTTTGGAAAATACATGGACATACAGTTTGACTTTCAGGTATGCCGCAGTCCCGGGCAGGCTCTTGGGGTCCCTTTACCCAGGTAACTTTTGGGAAAGAGGCATTATTGATCCAAGCGGTGGGAAAATCCAGGATCAGATCATTTTTTAAAAGTCTGCATGTGGGTGTGTGTATAGGCATGCATGCTGCAGGTGCGTTCCTGAGCACATGGCACCCATATGGAGGTCAGAGGACATTTCAGTCCTTACCTTCTGCCTTGTTCAAGACAAGGTCTCCTGTTCCACCGCTCCACAGGTCAGGCTAGCTAGTCTGTGAGCTCCCTGGGGATCTTCCCATCTTACTGTGAGAGCGCTGGGACTGTGGACACGTGTGGAGGATCCCAGGCAGTTTTATCTGCACCATTTCCCCAGGCCCCATCTCATCCTCCACCCCACCCCCTTCTATGTCTTCATGGCCAGTGCTGGGTGTAGACACGGATGTCTAAGAAGCCACACACACAGCTGCTGGAGTTCACAGGCTCCTGTGTGGTGAGGCTGTTGTCACATGATCCAGAGTACAGCCAACTGCTGTGGCACATAATCCCAGCACACAGGGGGCCGAGGCAGGAGGATAGCCATGGCTTTGAGGTCAGCCTGGGCTACGGTGTGATATGGGCGGTGTTCCACTTGCAGAGGTGTCCCACGGATGCATAAACATGTCCACAACAGCCCTGCTCACAGCACCAGACTAGGTGCTGCATCCAACTCAGAGAGGGCTCCTTGTCCACCCACAGAAGAATGACTACGGCGGGGTGTGTTTACACAGTGAGGTGACACAGATAGACCATAGCTTGACGTCACACAGGTGGGCCCTGGCGATGGACAGGTTGCCATTTTTCACAGAGCTTGAAAACAACCCATTGTGCAGGTGCGCGACCTTTCTCAGACAGGGCAGGGTAGGGAATACCTTCCACTCTGTGAGCCGGACAGCCTGGATCCAAACACCACCTGTTGTAGCATGAAGGAAGTTATGAGCAGCATGTGAATGAATGAAGGAATGAATGAATGAGGCGGTGCTACATACGGAATTTAACACATCTGTTGTATGTCAGTACATATGTCCTTACAGACACATATATATTCCAAGTGGCAGGCTGGGGTGTGGCGTGTATCTGGGTCTGCAAGGCAGCACCTAACTCTGGCTGGCTCAGGGCCTCCCAGAAGCTGGTCTATGAGCTGCTTGTGGCATGTACATAGACCCTGAAAGACATTTCCTGGCTCTGCGTGGATTCAGGCTTCTTTTGTAATCAAAATTTAACACATACACTGGAAATGTAAGCTCAGTGCATTTTGCATATATGTCTGTCCATGGGGCCGGGGGTTACCACTCAGAGCAACATGTAGAAATTCCCAGCAGCCAGAAGTAGCCCCAACAAGGGTTACCATGCCAAGGGTTGCCATGGTACTAGTCCCTCAATCACAGTTGTATGTAGCTGATTCTCACAACAGGGTCACATAGGTCAAATAGGTTTCTCAAATGTATCATGTTGACTGAGGAAAGCCAGGCATAAAACATAATGCTGGATAGAATGCCCCACACTGTAGCCCAAGTAGGCCTAGAACTTACTACAAAGCCCAGGCTTACCTCAACTCCATGGCTATCCCCTGCCTCAGCCCCTTGAGGGCTGAGGTTATGTGCCACAGCATTTGGCTGTACTCTGGATTACATAGCAACAACCTCACTACACAGGACCCCATCACTGGTGCGATCCGTCTTTTTCTAATGGGTTCATGCGTGAACTCCAGCAGCCATGTATGTGGGTTCCTAGACACCCATGTCCCCACCCGCACCCAGCACTGTCAGATGTGATTCTTGTCCATCAAGAGCTAGAACTGTGGTGACAAACTCAAAGTCAGCATGGGAGTGAGGTGGGGCCGGGGGGTGGGCTCAGAGGGTAACGTCACCAAGCCTGGCAGCCTGAGTTCAGTCCCAGGGCCCTCGTGGTAGGAGGGAAGAACTAACCCCTGAAAGTGAGGGGTCCTCTGACCTCTGCACCCAAACTGAGGTGCACGTGTCCTCGTCCCCCCACAAATATATAAAAGTGATAACATATGTAATTTTTAAAAATCTATATATAAGCATGTGGTATGTGTGTGCGGGTGCCCAGAAACTGAAGTTACAGGAGGTTGTGAGCTGTTGGGCAGAGTGCTGGGATTTGAACTCCTTTCTGGAAGAGCAGGACATGTGCTGTCTCTCCAGCCATGCTTAAAAAAAAAAAAAACATCCTTTTCAAAATCACCACCGGAGTCAGTAGAGATGAAGTCATTTTTCCAATGAATGAGGAACTGGAGAGATGGCTCAGAGGTTGAGAGCACTGGATGCTCTTCCAGAGGTCCTGAGTTCGATTCTCCGCAACCACGTGATGGTTCACAAGCATACATAAATAAAAATAAAACAAACTCATTCAATCCAATGACACTAAGTGTTAATGGTGATTTTAGAAGACCTTTACCTCACACCATACACAAAAATTAAATTGTGTGCGTTAGCAAGACAGTTTGGTGTGTGCAAGCCCTTGCTCCACAAAGGTGATGGCCAAGGTTTGGTCCCCAGAACCCACATGGTGGAAGGATGGAACAACGAAATCCTGAAAGTCGTTCTTTGACGTCCACATAGGTGCTGTGGGACATGTGCATGCCTGCTTGCACACACCTACACATACTAATACATACACATTTTAAGTTATTTTAAAATTAGCACAAGAGACTATAGTCCAAAACATTAAATGGTAAGACAGGCTGAGAAAGTATCTTCCTGACCTTGGAGTGAGCAAAAAACAGCCTAGAAACATCAATCACTGACCCTGAGAGACTGTTATTCATTCAAATCTTAAAGCACTTGGGAGATGAGGCAGGAAGAGCGTGAGCTCAGGGCTAGCCTGGACTACACAGTAAAGCTGAAGTCAGTCTGCTACTGAGACTCCCACCAAAACCACCCTAACCTAGACCTCCATGGTTGGTCAGGCCCACATCAGGGAGGGGGGCTTGTCAGAGATATTCCCCTGCATTTTTTGTTTCATAGGGCATCCCCGTAGGTGGGCATATCATCAGTTACTTGATCGAAAAATCCCGCGTTGTCTACCAAAACCACGGGGAGCGGAATTTCCACATCTTCTACCAGCTGCTAGCGGGTGGTGAAGTGGAGCGCCTCACCTCCCTGGGGCTTGAGCAAGACCCCCAGCTCTACAAGTACCTCTCACAGGTGGGAAGGAGCAGAGCCCCACTCTGGTGGCCCTCGGGAGGAGGGAGCTGGGTGTTTGCTGTTCTGGTTGGACCTTCCTACATGATACAAGCAAGCTAACACATCTGTGCTGTTGGGCAGCCTTCTCACCTTGGTAAAGCAACCCAATGTCTAATTCCCAGTAAAAATTAGAATCGGTTGAACAATCTGAGAAACAGAGGCAACACCACCAGGCGCAGGACACTGGCCTCAAATGTGCGAGGCCCTGGGTTTGAAACCCAGCACCAACTAAAATGAACAAACATGTTGGAGCCAAGCCTCAGATATGTAGATGTGGTCCTTCCAGAGAGGGATGGGGATGCCAGAGCTGGTACAGGGATGCAGCTCAGTGGTCCAGCACTGGCTGGGGATGCACAGGGTCCTGGTTTTCTGTGTCACACACACTCCCCTTAGGTTTGCCGCACAGTCGAGGTAGAGTTGCTGGTGCAGGTCTGACAGGCATTGCTGTCCCTCTCTGCCCCATCCACCAATCTGGAAAGAACTCTCCCCAGCTCCCCACCTTCCACTGTGAGGTGGAAAGAGCTTGGCCGTCCCTGAGTGGGCCTGGGAGTTAGCGCTGTCAGAGGGACATTCGGAGGTTAACTCATTTCTCTGCAGCCTGTGCCAGGGTTCTACGGCACCCAGGCTTTGTGAAGCATTTGGTCCCATTAGCACCTTTCTTTGCCCAGAGCTGCCCCCACCCCGCTTTCCATATCACTGGGCCTGGCTTCGCACTGAGGTGGCCAGGCAGAATGCAGGGGAGAGAGAGCAAAGGTTACAGGAAAGTTAGGACCAGCATGGCACAGAACCCTTGGGAGGAAAGCAGGAATGACTTTAAAGAGCCAAGTCGAATGAAGAGGAGTGAAAAATCTCCTCAGACAATCCAGAGCTGGTTCTCAGAGCCAGGCTGATGTGGGTTTGCTTTGTGTTTCTTGTTAAGGACCTGTTCTCCCAGCGTAACCACGTGTCTGTCATCTTTCGTGCCTGATCTGGGACCAAACAGAGAGAAGTGACAGAATCCTCAGTCACTTCTCCAAACATCTGGTGTTCCCTTTGAGAATCACATCTCTCTCTTGGAGACAGATGCAGACAGAGACACAGACACACAGACAGACACACAGACGGAGACACAGACACAGAGACACAGACACAGAGACACAGACACAGAGACAGAGACACAGAGACGGAGACACAGACAGACACAGAGACACAAACACAGACACACAGACAGCGACACAGACATGGACACAGAGACAGAGACACAAACACACAGACAGAGACACCGACACACAGACAGACACACAGACACAAACATACACACCTTTATTTTTATAGATTTTCCCCCCTGACCCAACTGCTTTAACCAGACCCATATGCCCCACTGGCTTTGCCAATGCGTGTTTTTGTTTTGTTTTATTTTGTTTTTTAGCCCATTTCCTGATGCCCCACAGTGTCAGGGAAATGTCCAGCAGTTTGCACTGCTCTGAACCAACTGTGTGTCTCAGACAGACAGATGTGCACACGCTTTGCCTGCAAGGGGCAGGAAAAGATGTGGGAAGGGACAGCTGCTCGGATTCCATGGAGATCCATTCTAGGACCTGTCATAGATGCTCAGCTCAAGTGTCATGTAAAATACCAAAGAGTTTGCATATGACCTACGCATCCTCCTGTATATGCTAAGTCATCTTCAGGTCCTCTGCATGACCAAATACAATACAAATGCTGTTTTAGGAAGTTACAGGGCCTGCGGAGATGGCTCAGTCACTAAAGTGCTGCCCCCCAACCGTGACGACCTGAGTCTGAATCCCTGTCATCCACATCAAAAGTGAGGAGGCAGAGACAAGAGAGAGGGCCCTTGAGGCTCAAATCCAGCCAGTCTAACTGAAGGGGACTCCCACATAGTTGGGGTTTCTTCCAAGACCCCAGATTAGGCACAAACCACCCCCAAACACCAGTTTTCACAGGGAGACACCTTTGTTAGCAGGGGAGGGGAGAGCTAAAGTGGCTGCTTTCTGGCTCGGTCCTTGCAAGCGTCATTTTTAAGAAGAGAAAGAGGGAATATCTGGGTGGGATGGGCTAGGAAGAGATGATAGAGGAGACAGGGGGCGAGGGAGAAGAGGGAAAGAACAGGGAAAGGAGGTAGGGATATCTGTCCCAGAGGGGTCGGGGGACAAAGTACTGCCTCTGGATAGAGAGAGGACGGATGTGACACACAGGAAAATGGCGGTTTAGGAAGGTCAAGGGAAACCCAATGTTAGGATGAAGTGTTTAATTTTAATTGGGCATATTAATTAGGTGAGCCAAAGGGGCCTTTTTTGTTTTTTTTGGTTTTTGTTTTTTGTTTTTCGAGACAGGGTTTCTCTTTAGCTTTGGGGCCTGTCCTGGAACTAGCTCTTATAGACCAGGCTGGCTCCAAACTCACAGAGTTCCGCCTGCTTCTGCCTCCTGAGTGCTGGGATTAAAGGTGTGCGCCACCACTGCCCAGCTCAAAGGAGGTTTCTGATTGCTGGATTTCAATACTTTGATATCTGGACCTTGGTGGTAGACCTCAGGAGGAGGAAGTGGCCAAATAAGAGAACAGACCTTGGTGGCCAGCTTTAGAAATGTAATCTAACAGATTTTAGCAAGGCAGAGGGACTGGGGAGAAGGCTAGGGCGAGTGTCCCCTCACCAACCAAATCAGTGAGCCCCAGGATCAGTGAGGGACCCCGACTCAAAAAATAGGGCGGAGGGTGATCGATCTCTGACCTCTATGCACAGACTCATGGGCACAATAGTTAAACACTGTTATACTGTACTGTTTAGGGAATAATAACAGAAGTCTGCACATGCTCAATGCATTGTAACTTACCTGAGTATTTTTGGTTGAATATGAGAATACAGAATTCACAGACATGGAACTTGATTTTCTACAACTGGGAATTTTATTCTGACTGATTCTCAGTGAACACTATCTACAATACAGACACATTTTAATACGATAGATCTTTAGGTAGCCAACAAACTGGGAACATCTTGTATTCCAAATGCAAAATAACTTTTAAAATGTCTAAGCCGTTTCCTTTTAAGTTGCGACGTTGTAGGGCCAGCAACATGGCTTAAGGGATAAATCCACTTGCATCAAAGTCTGATGATGTAAGTTCTATCCCTGGCTGACACACGATTAATAAAAACCCAGAGACAGCGAAATGCCACTACACCTGGCTTCACGTAGAGGAGGAGAGAACAGACTCCTGCAGGTTGTATCTGGTCTCCATATATCCTGGCGTGCATATGCCCACACATATATACATACACATAATTAATAAATACATACAATAAAAATTTGACATTAGTGGGTCTGTTATTTAAAAGGCAGCACACAAAATTAATTAAAAGTCTGATCCCGTCTCTGCTGCCGATCAGTCTATCAAGTGCCTCCTCCATGGGGCCTCCAGTCTAGCCCTGCAGTGAGGGATTTTTGTTTGTTCTGAAAATCCCCAAGCGCATCAGGGCCATCATCCAAATTTAAGTGCTGCTATTTCTTTGCCTGTTTCAGCCGATCCCTTTTAGACAAACGTCTTCTAGTTACTTAGCAAAATGAAAGAGGAAATGTGGTTTAAAACAGGTGCTGAGAATATAGATCACTAGCTTTGAAAGTTTCTCATGACAGGGATTTTTAAAGATGAAGTACCAAGTAAGATTGAAAATAAGAAGTTGCCAGCAAATGATCACGTTGAAAAGCGTGTCTACAGTGGACATTACAGGAGTGGGTTCTGGATAGTCAGAGAGCCACTCTGAGCTAGGAGCAGGTGTGTGCATGTTCAACTGTCCTTAAGATGCCACAGACTGATCCAATTGTGTCATAGGGTCACTGTGCCAGAGAGTCGCCTACCAACGACAAAAACGACTGGAAAACTGTGTTCAATGCCTTTTTTGTCATTGATTTCACAGAAGCTGACCTTGAGGTAAAGGCCCTGGGGTTCTGTCTGGATGGGAACTACCCTGTTTTCCTGGGGTTTTGGTCACTGTAGGACCACTGAATTTAGCAAATAAAAACACGTGTCAAGGCCTGGAGGATAAGCAGTTAATATCCCAGATACGGCTATGGCATAGAGCTGTCGACAGAGACCTGGGACATGGCAGTGGGATGGTGCAGTCAGTAGAGGTCTTGATCCCCAGAACCCGTGTTGAAAGCAGGTGTAGGAGCTGAAGAGATAGCTAAGTAGTTAAGAACACTTGTAGCTCTTGTAGACAATTCGTTTGGTTCCCATTACCCATGTCAAGTGACTGGCAACCACTCATAACTCCAATTCCAGTGGATTCAATGTTAGATAATATTTTTTTTAAATAGACTTATTTTATATGTATGAGTGTTTTGCCTGCATGTATGTTGGTACATCCCATACGTGCCTGATGCCCACATAGGCCAAAAAAGGGTGCCAGATCCCCTGGATCTGGAGTTACAGATGTCTGTGAGCCCATCATGTGGATGCTGGGGAAAGAATCCAGGTCCTCTGTAAGAGCAACACATGCCCATAGCCACGGAGCCATCTCTCCAGCCCCCTAAGAAAAAGAAAGCCAGGTGTTATTGTGCACACTTATGATTTCAGCAATGAAGAGGCAGAGGAAGGGGTCTTGGGCTCTCATGGTAAGTTCCAGGCCAGCGAGAGAACTGGTAAACACAAATAAAAGGTGGACACGATGCCTGTGAGCTGACACCTGAGTTGTCCTCGGTTCCGTGCACACAAATGCAAACACATGCATGCACTTACATATGGACGTGCACATGCATGAACATGCACATATGACCATGCACAGGGTGACATATAGGACATGTTGTAATGCAAGCACTTGGAGATAAATAACAAAGAATGCTGAGTGTAAATCTGCCTCAGGTGTTGTATGGAAACAATTATAAAAGATCAGTCAGCCAATAAAATAGAAAACGGGCATTTGGCTCTTTGCTCAGCTTGTTTCCGCAGTGTTGCACAGAGGGAGGTGACATGGTCCCTGCCCGGGTTACGTCCAGTCCTGATTAGACCCATCGGGCTTGCACATTTATTCTTTATTTACTCTTCAATTTTGAAACAACTTGCATCATGGGTAAACATTAAATAGAATTTTGGTTTTTGATTTTCCATTCTGATTATAAATCTGTTTATCTTTCAAGAACTAAATGTTGTCTATAAAATGAGGATATTTGAGACATGTTATTTGAAAACTGAATGGATTACCTGTGGGGATGGTTTGTTTGTTTTGAGACATGGTCTTGCTATGTAGCCCGTGCTGGCCTGGAACGCTAGTGATCCCCCTGCCTCAGCCTCTCAAGTGCTAGAGTTACAGGCATACATTATTCCTGCTAGCTGGGAATTTGTTTTATAAACTGTTTTTTAATAAGAATGTTTTGTTTTTTGGAGAAAGGGTTTCTCGGGGTAACAGTCCCGTCTATCCTGGAACTCACTTTGTAGACCAGGCTGGACTCACAGAGATCAGCCTGCCTATGCCTCCCCAGCGCTGGGATTAGAGGTGTGTGCCACCACCGCCGGGCTTATAAACTGATTTTATAAAATGGATCTCTGTAAGTTCGAAGCCAGCCTGGTCTACAGAACTAGTAACAGGGCAGCTAGGGCTATTACACAGAGAAACCCTGTCTCAAAAAACCAAAAATAAATAAACAATAAAATGCTTATGTACTTATATTTTGTGCTGGGGAATGAGAGAGGCTCCCATCCAGCCTCTACTCCTCATTAAGATCATTAGTACTGGAAGTGACCAGGGCCCGTTTCTAGCGAGGAGGCAGCTGGCTCTGTGAGCTGGGCTGGGATTTGGGGGAGGAGACATCTCAATGCCATTTGTCACAGAGGTGCTGCTGACTCCCCTGCCTCTGTGCCCTGCTTGCCTACATCTCTAGAACCTCTTTGGGATCATTGCTAGTGTCCTGCACCTAGGCAACATTTGCTTCAAGGAGGACAAACAAGGTTGTGCCAGCATTCCGGACACACACGAAATCAAGTGGATTGCCAAGGTGACCTTACTTTTCTGAAGAGCAGGGGGGTGGGGAGCCTGGTCCCCAGTGCCCACAGCACCCCAGATGCCCAGTACTACATGCTTTTGCTGATGCCAGTTAGGAAGGTTATGGGAAGCTATGACCACTGAACTTGCTTCTGTCTTTTGTTTTGTTTCTGAGATAAGATCTCTCTACACAGCCTAAGCTGGGCCTGACCTGGATCGTTCTGTCTCTGCCCCCTGAGTGCTGAGATTCAGGAGTGAACCACCTTGGCTGGTTCAGTGAGGCCCTTTTCTCCCTAAAGTGATGAGGGCGGGGGACCCTGGACCTGGAGAGGACACAGGTTCTCTACAGTCACTGAATGAGAGCCAAATTCCTTCACACAGCTCCTGGGGCTCTGCCCGGCGGTTCTCCTGGAAGCTCTCACCCACAGAAAGATTGAAGCCAAAACAGAGGAGGTGAAAAGGGAGAGATATGTGTCCCCCACCCATGACTGCCTGACTCAGATGGTAGCTCTCTGGTGTCCTCTGTGGGTAACAAACCTCCAAACCCAGCCCACCAGGCCTTGAATGCTACAGCTCTTGCTGGGATCTCAGCCTTGTCTTCAGACACCCACACCCCTATTCCTCCACCCTCTGTTTCTCCATCCCCCATTAATCATCCCACCTCCCACCCCTCGTCTCCTCCCCCATCTTTTCCCCTCCCCCTTCCCCCAGCTCATGCCTAGGACTTGCTGCCTCCTTCGTGGAGTCTTGCGCATGCTGCTCCCTCTGCTGGAATGCCTTCCCCTGTTCTTCGTGCTTTAGCCCCCAGAGCCCTGAATCAAGGCCCTTTTCCTGATCACCTGCCTCGACCTCACCTTTCTCCTCATGGCACCTGTCACTGTCTACACCATGGCTTTTCTCTGTGTGGTTCTTTGCGTGTTTGTCAACGCTCCCACCTCTGCACCAAGCTCAGTCCGCAAACACCAGGACACCAGTCTGGGTCCTGGTCTCCTAATTTGTATTCTTTGCTCAGTCCCCATGGAAGACTAGTGTGAAAACTGAGGGGTGGGGCCCATTCTGTCTGTAAATGACGCACCTTACCCTTCCTTTCAGGTGATATGCCCACTGACAGTAGAGCTCTCTGTCTATGCTAGAGATGCCATGGCAAAGGCCATATACGGGCGGACATTTACTTGGCTGGTCAATAAAATCAATTCTTCCCTAGTCAACCAGGTAGGTTAGCATGTGTTGCACGTCTCGTTTTCACTGAAGTGGTGATGTCTTAAGATCATCATAGTAAAGAGGTTGTGAAGGATGGACTGCACGTGCCTCATGGACAGGGTTCTGTCTTGTCGGGTCTTCCAATGCCTTGCACACAGAAGGTGTGCACCTCAGATGGCTTGGCAGTACTTCTCGAAGTCTGGTGCCCACAGCACCTGTGGTATACCAGATGGCTCTGGGTGCATACAGCAGCTTTCTACAACCATAGAATTTTAACAATGCCTAAGCACGTGCATCTGACCTCCGAGTGCCTGCTTTTAAGTGGGTCATTTCTCCTTTTTAAGTGGAATCAGATAAGATGGGAGTTTATTTAAGGCCAGAAATTAAGGCATGACTGTAGGCCTAAGAGCAGAATACAGACTGGGGGAAGCAGCATCTCAGTTCATTCCGAGAGAAGAGCCTGCTGTGTCCTGTTAAAAACAGTAAGTGGCCCCGGATAGCTCAGCAGTTAAGAATGCTATTGTTTTCACAGAGGATGCAAGTTCAGTTCCCAGCATCTGCAAAGGGTGGCTCACTGCCACCTATAATTCCAGTTCTAGGGGACCCAGATGACCTCTTTTGGCCTCTGTGCATACTGGAACACATGTAGTACATGTGCATACACACAGAATTATGAATATTTAAGTTAGTAACAATAAGCATATTTTCTTTTTTTGCCATTTGACAGTTGGTATTTTATTCAGATAGCAGTCTTATTACATGTGGTCCAAGAATATTGAAAGAACTCAAATAAAATCAGATGTGAAGGTCAGTCTTCACACATCATAGCCAACGATGCCACGTTTCCCTATGATCTCTCCGACATAAAACCACATCCACACCTCAGTGGCCACCAAACCATTCAGCACAGCTTCCTTAACTGTAAGATGTTTGAAGCTACCAGTTTTAGCACTTTGAATTATTGTTTTCACACTCTGAATAGCTGCAGGGAGTTCAGCAGGGTTTGGGGGAACCAGCTCAACCTTGGAGTATTGCCAAAATGTGGCCAATCGAGGCTTCGAGTAAGTCACAGCAGTGGATATTAGCCCCGGGGCTTTCTCCTCGAAGTTACGGACGAACTTGGCCATGGTCTAGGGTGGAAGGTCATAAGCATATTTTCTATGGCTACAACTGAGCTCCACAAGTTGGGTGATGGAAAAGTGTAGAAGTTTACTTAGCTTAGGGTTCTGGAGGCTGGGGAGTTAAGAGCACAATGCTGTATGTAATGGAGTCTCCTCCAGCACTGACATGGAAGAGGATGGTCCACTGTAAGGTAGGATGTTCTGGTGAGTGGCCCCTCACCGTCTTGGTGGCCCCTCCTTGGGACCTTGTCCTCCAAGTATCGATATTAATGATCTGAAGGTATTTCTGACATGTGGTCTTTGGGGAGACACACTGAAACCACAGCCTCGTTGGGAGGTGCCCACCTTTGCTGGTATAAAGTGGAATTCATGCCACTGCCTCCTCTCACCTGGGCAAACACTTCCTGGGCAGTTTGTAGGTCACTTTTCATTGTTGGTTTTTGGATCAATGCAAACCTCGGAGACTGGAGAGACATGAAATCATGACGAGAAGCAGAAGGCAAGGTGTTACTGGCCTAGACAAGCCACAGGCAGGTCCAGCTGGGGGGCTGGCAGGAGGAGCAGCCTGACAGGCCCCAGCAGTTGCCCTGTGAGCCACTGCAGAAGACGGCAGGAGCCATGTGCTTTAGAGTCTCAACCTTGGGGACAACAACAGGGCTCTGAATATCGCAAAATGACAAAGCCAGCTGGATCAGTCCATTTTCCCCTACCGTAGTGATGATGAGAGGGATGAGCATCACACGGCAAGAGAGGAGATGCTCTGTGCATCGGCTCTGGTCTCTCTCTTCACAGGAAGTCAGCAGCAGTGCGTGACAGGGGCTCTGCTCTGATGTTCTTGTCTAGCTGATGACCTGCCCCAGAGGCCCTACTTCCAAACTCCATGGTCAAGTTTAGCTTCCTCTTAAAGCCTCACGGCGGGGATTAAGTTTCAACACAAGAACCCTTTGAGTAAAAGCTAGAAAGATGGCTCAGGGGTTAAAAGCACTTGCTGCTCTTGCAGAGGACGCAAGTTTGGTTCCCAGCACCTGCGTCAGGCAGCTCACAGCTGCTGTAAACACCAGCTCCAGGGAATCCAACACCCTCTTCTGGTCACTGTGGGTACCTACAAGCAGGTGGCAGACACACACACTAAAATATAAATACTTAAAAAAAAATGAAGTTTTGGAAGCTACACAGACGGCCCAAGCCACAGCACAAGCAGCTAACGGCATGCATTTCCCCCTCCCACCGCTAGGATTTCACCCAGAAGACTGTGATTGGGTTGCTGGACATTTATGGCTTTGAAGTCTTCGACAAGAACGGGTGAGTGGCCACTGCTGCCTGCTGTGCTTGTCTCTGTGGTTTCAGTGAGAGTGTACGCCATGGTTAAGGAGCTGGAATTGGTTTTTCTGTCCCTTGACCTACAGGTCCCCGCAGCCCTCAATTCACACACTGTTCTAGGCAAGTGCCCTACCCACAAGCTGCCTCCCCAGCCACTCAAACACTGAGCCGTTTCCACGTGGTCCTTCCTAACACTCAAACACTGACCCATTTCCACGTGGTCCTTCCCGCTTACTAGCAGACTGCTCTATAGAGAAGAACTGTGCACTCACCAAAAAGTGGTTCGGTGGTGCCTGGCCTATCTATATGATTTGCATGACCGAAATTCCCCATATCTTTAGTTTTGAACAGTTCTGCATAAATTATTGCAACGAGAAACTGCAGCAGCTGCTGATAGAGAGGACGCTGAAGGCCGAGCAGGCAGAGTATGAATCTGAAGGCATCGAGGTGAGCAGTGGACTGTCTCCGCATTTGAGGGAGTGAACGTGTGTGTCTGGGAAGAGAGGGGAGCAGCGAGGGAGGAGGAGGGCTCAGGGCACAGTGGCCCCCAGGCTTTGGACACACTGGTGAAGGGCTCTATCCCCCAGCTCCACCCCGACCCTCCTCATTCATCTGAGAAAGATCCTGGATTGAGGATTTTAGTTCTTCCCTTGGAAAATACTTGGGATATTTAGGAAGCGTCATTTAAGGATTTTAAATTTTCGGTATTATGTGTGTGTGCGTGTGTGTGTGTGTGTCTACATGGTGTGTGTGGAGACGAACATGCCAGTACATGGGACAACTTCATGGAGTTGGTTCTTTCCTCCACCTTTACATGGGTTCCAGGGATCGAACTCAGGATATCAGGCTTAAGTGACAAACACCTTTACCATCTTGCCAGCCCCAAAAGCAGAATTTTTAAAGATTTTAAGTTGGTGTATGTGTGCGTTGTGTGTGGATGGGCACCTCAGTGCAGGTGCCCCTGGAGGCCAGAAGAGGGGTCAGGTTCCCTGGAGCCAGAGTTCCAGGCAGTTGTAAGCCACACGCTGTGTGTGCTGGGAACTTGAACTTGAGTCCTCTGTGAGAGCATGGAGTGTTCTTAACTGCCTACCCATCTCTCCAGCCCACCAAGTGAATCAAATTTATATAAATGTTACTGACTAAGACCAGAGCAAAGCCGGGCAATGGTGGCGCACGCCTTTAATCCCAGCACTCGGGAGGCAGAGGCAGGCGGATCTCTGTGAGTTCGAGACGAGCCTGGTCTACAGAGCGAGTTCCAGGACAGGCTCCAAAGCCACAGAGAAACCCTGTCTCGAAAAACAAAACAAAACAAAACAAAACAAAAAAAACCAGAGCAAAAACATTTGCCAGATCCAAGCAAGCTTTGGAAATCACATCCAACATGAACAGCCTATCATAGCAGTATCATAGCTTACTTCCCTGCCCAGCAATCCAGTAATTCTGGAACATTCCTTCAGAAGCTAAAACTAAAACTGGAAATGTTTATTAAAAATTCCAAAAGTAAAATTTGGATATGAAAATCGGATTTTGAAGGCTGGAGAGATGGCTCAGAGGTTAAAAACATTAACTATTCTTCCAGAGGTCCTCAGTTCAATTTCCAGCAACCACATGGTGCCTCCCAGGCACCTACAATGAGATCTGGTGCCCTCTTCTGGCATCCAGGCATACATGCAGGCAGAACACTGTAGACATAATAAATTTTAAAAGAAATCAGATTTTGGGAAAATATTTGGAGAATCCCTGTCAAACCAATGTGCTTGGTGCCCCTGTGCATTCTGGGACAACTCTTTCCTCTTCTTCTAGTGGGAGCCTGTTCAGTACTTCAACAACAAGATCATCTGTGATTTGGTAGAAGAGAGACACAGAGGGATCATGTCTATTCTGGTGAGAAAACAGTGACCTGGTTCCTTCACTGGGTGTCTGCCACAGTGGATGAATGTTGCCAGGGTTTGAAAGAGGAAGTCCTGTGTAACCCCAGCAGCTCAGGCGGATTGCCATGGGTTTGAGGTCAGTCTGGACTATATACTAAGTTTCAAGACAGTCTAGACTACAGAATGGGATGACTCAAAATGTGTGTGTGTGTGCATACAGTGTGTGTGCATGCATGTGTGTGCATGTGTGCGTGCAGGTATGTGTGCATGCAGTGTGTGTGCATGCATGTGTGTGTGCGTGTGTGTACAGGCGAGTGTTTACAATGGCCAGTGAAGTACCATCATTGCTGAGGAAATAAACACATAGCAATAGAGAAATGTGCTAGCTCAGGCTGAGCTGCTTTCACAGCTACCTCTCCAGGAAGCCTCTGCACCGTGCGTACAGCTGTTTCTGACCCTTGGTGACCAGTTAAGAGTGTTCAAATAAGCTGCCATGGAATCCAGGAGTATCTTTGAGAAGTCCATAAATTTGGCCAGAGCAAGGCATGGTGGGAACTGCCTGTTAGCCCATCATTCAGGAATCATGAGCTTGAGGCTGTTACAAGACACTAAGTAGGGGGCAAGAGAGGAAGGAAGGAAAGAAAAATGGGTTAGACTGGGCTGTGATGGTAGGTATATGCCTGCTATTCCAACACTCAGGAGACAGAGGCAGGAGGATTATGAGTTTGAGACCATTTGAAACTACACAGCAAGACTCTAACTAAAGGCAAGGGAGAAGAAAAAGAAAGACGGGAAGGGGAAGAGGAAAGGGGGAAAGAAGGAAGGAAGGAAGGGACACAGGTTGGAGTCTGTGCTGGTGGAGCACATATAATCTCTGCACTGGAAAGGCTAAGGCAGGACTTGGAGGCAACCTGGATACACAGCAAAGCCTGCCTCAAAAGGAAAGAATAGGAGGGAGAAGGGAAAGGAAATAGGACAGCAGCGGTCAGATGCAGGGAGAGTCACTATGTGGCATCTCCAGTCTCTCTGGGGTCAGCCCCAGTGTCCAAGCACATGTGCTGGGTACACCTTTGTCCCAGGCGTCCACCTGGTCTCATGCGAGGTGACAGGAATTCCATCTAGAACATCCAACCACAGCTGGAGAAAGCACTTAGATCTCAGCCAACCAGTGTATGCCATGGTGTGGGGTTGATCTGAACCAGTATACACTGTGGTGTGCGGTTGAGCTGTCTTTTCATTTGAAAGGATGAAGAATGCATCCGTCCAGGTCCCGCCACAGACTTGAGTTTCCTGGAGAAGCTGGAAGAGAAAGTGGGCAAGCACGCACACTTCCAAACGTGCGTACTTCATCTGGGGGGCTGTGTGGAGAATGCTATGTCTTCTTTCTTGGACCCGTGTCCAAGTCCAAGTCCTCTGGGGCTGGAGAGATGGCTCAGTGGGTAAGAGCGCTTGCTGTGCAAGCATGAGCCCCTGAGTTCGAATCCCAGCACCCACATAAAAGCTGGGCGTGGCTGGACACATCCAGGGCTGTGGAGGTTGAGAGAGGACAATTGCGGGAGCTGGCTGCTGCCAGCCGACCTAAAAGAATAAAGCAGTGGGTGACAGAGAAGGATACCAGTGTCCATCCTCCTCAGGTCTCTGGGTGCCAACCACGTACATATGTTCACATATACCACACAATGCATACACACAGTACAGTGACTTCATATACAAAAATAGCATCCTGGAAACCGGCTCACATGCCAGCATGCCTGTTAGAAGAAATTGGACTGACAGGAATTCCAAGTAGAGTGAGTATCTTGCTTTGTTTGATGGTGGTTACATTTCACATGAGGTGCAGGCATGAGATGGTCCTTCTGAACAATTTAGGCACAGTAGCAACAGCCAGATTCAGTGACACAGGCCTGCCGTCCCAGGGCTCGGCAGGCTGAGACAGGGAATCAAGACTTCAGGCCAGCCTATGCCACACTGAAAGACAAAAAGCTTAAAACGAAGGAGAAAATGAGAAAAACTTGGGGTGCATGGGCTGGAGAGATGGCTCAGCCGTTAAGAGCACTGACTGCTCTTCCAGAGGACCCGGGTTCAATTCCTAGCATCCATATGGGAACTCACAACTGTCTATAACTCCAAGATCTGACACCCTCACACAGACATAAATGCAGGCAAAACACCAATGTACACAAACATAAGAACAAATAATAAGTGTGAATATGCAGCAGGGAATGTATTTATGTGTGTACACGTGTGTGTGTTTGTGCGTGTGAGGGCGTGTGGCCATGGAGGCCAGCTGTCAGATTCCCTGGAGCTGGAGCTACAGGCAGTTGTGAGCTGGGAACCGAGCCTAGGTGGCCTGCAGGAACAGCAAGTGTTCTGAACCACTGAGCCATCTCTACAGACCCCGAATGTTTGATTTATATGCAACCCCCAAGCCAATCAAAAGCATTCACAACGTTTCAGAAAGAAAATTCAAATTTTAACTTAGTCTTTGAGACAAATAAGAGAAAAACGTAAACGTGCTGTAGACCAAGGGGTAGGCATTCCGTTAAACTCACACTCAGGAGGTAGATGATCCCTAAATTCGAGGCTAGCTTGATCTATGTAACAAGTCCCTGGTCAGCCAGACACCTGGATTCAGTCCCAGCACCAACAAACAAAACAAAACCTGGCTTTGAATCATAGTCCCAGCGTGGCCACTTACTGAGTGGGCAGAGCTGATGTGACCCCTCTGCATTTGAGCCCCGCTTTCTGCACGGTAGGATACTACCACAGCTACTCAGTAGCTTTCTGAGTGTCCACGGACACTGTCATTGATAACACCCCTGTCAGACATGAGAGACGTACGGATGAAGCTAGATATGCAAATGAGGTGAGCATGAACAGTGAACTGTGCAGAGTCACAAATGGTCTCTCGTTGGGACTTAGGGTCTATGCATTAGGCTAGGCGTGCTGACCTGTAGGGACCAGCCTGTCTCCAACTTTCCAGGGCTGGCATTAATGGCGCACACAGCCACGCCTGACTTTTTTTTTTTTTTAAGCTGGGTTCTGAAAATCAAACTCAGGTCTCATGCTTGTACGGCAAGCATTTTGCCAAATGATCTATTTCACCAAACCTTTAAAGAATGCATATGTTAATATCTGTGTATGTGAACATGCCCGTGAACACATGTACCACACTGCGTAGAGGTCAGTTCTTTCCTTCCGCTAGGTAGGGTCCCCGGATCAAACTTAGGCCATTAGACTTGGTGGCAAGCACCTTTGCCTGTGGAGCCATCTCGCTGGACCTACTCCTCCTTTTTCCCTTTTCTCCTCCTCTCTTTCTTCTACTTTTTTGAAACAGGGTTTCACTATGTAGCCTTTGCTGACCTGAAGCTTCCTATGTAGACCAGGTTGGCCTCAAACTCACCAAAATCCTCCTGCCTGAGTACTGGGATTAAAGTTGTGCACTACCACACCCAACCTTTTTTTTATTATTATTTTAAAAAATGGGGCTGAAGAGGTTAAGAGCACTTGTTGCTCTTCCAAGGGACCCAAATTGGTTCCCAGCGCTCACATGGAGATTCACATCTGTCTCTGATTCCAGTTCCAGGGCATCAGGAGGTATCAGCTACTAATGTGGTGTACAGACACACATCAGGCAAAACACCCAGACACACAGGATTAAAAAACAAACAGGGGTGTGGTGGGGGAAGGTGGGGGAAGCTGGAGTAAGGGAGGGAGTGGGAACAGGGATAGCTATGTAAAATGAGAAAAGATTGTATTAAAAAAATCTTAATAAAAAACTAGAACAAACAAGCAAAAACCACCCTGTAATGTTGTCGAGGGAACCCAAGGCTTTCTGCTTGCCACACGTGTTCCACCAGAGAGTCATGCCCCCAGTGCCAGGTGACTTTATTAAAAACAAAGCCTGAATATTTCTCCCAGGCAGATAGGGCTTCCTTCCTCACTAGCTTAGTGGGGGGCAGCTCTAAGTGTGAGAGCTGCCCCACAGCCAGACATAGGGCACAAGGCTCACTGGGCGCCTCCTTCAGGTTGATGGCAATGTCGCTGAGCGGCTGGCCCAGGACTTTCTCTGTCATTCTTGCTGCCATGAAGGAGAAGGGTCTAGCAGCATGTGTCTGTCTTGCAGAAGGAAGCTGGCTGGTCCGAAGGGCTGGAAGAGGATTGGCTGGTTGGAGTTTCGCCTCCTGCACTATGCAGGAGAGGTCACCTACAGCACCAAGGGTGAGTGACAGAGGTTGTAGGTCACAGTCTGTGGGTCACAGCAGAGCAGGTGCCTGTGTGCACATGCTGGTCACCAGGTCGTCCAAGGAGGTGCCATCTGTGGTCACCCCAAAGCTCCTGCACTCGAGCATGCCACCTGAAGGCTCTTTCGCGTTTTACTTATTACTTCAGATAGAACCACGTTTTTAAAACCTAAATAAATAAAAGTATTCACACACTGCGTAGCTCATCCATTAACATGTGCAACTTGAGGGTTTTAGTGTGTTCAGAGTTGTGCAACTGTACACTCAATTTCATTTTAGACAAGTGCCTCTCCCCAAAGCAATAGAGATTAAGAAATTTCCTCCCTCCCTCCCTCCCTCCCTCCCTCCCTCCCTCCCTTCCTTCTCTTCTCTTCTCTTCTTTTCTGTTTGGTTTTCAAGACAGGGTTTCTCTGTGTGGCCTTGGCTGTCCTGGAACTCGCTCTGTAGACCAGGCTGGCCTCAAACTCACAGAGATCCTCCTGCCTCTGCCTCCTGAGTGCTGGGATTAAAGGCCTGCACCACCACTGCCTAGCTGAGAATTAAGTAATACACATCCTAACTCCACAGCCTTCCTATCATGAACTGGAGAATCTTTGGGGGTTTGACTTCCCTCATTTAGCATAATGTTTCAAGGTTACTGCTGAGTAATAGTTCTTTCTCTGGATAAGCTTGTCTGTGCTCATATTCATAAGTCTTCAGGGGGCTTATCCTCTCAGCCGTGTGGAGACTGACATTGGGACCATACCTGTATGCCCCCCACCTCCCCCAGCAGTTCCAGAGATTGAGTCTGGGTCCCGTGCACATTAGGGGGGTGCCCTGTCACTGAGGTCCCCTCAATCCTTTTCTGGGAGTTTTAGAATTTCGAGACAGTCTCACTCAGTTGCCCAGGCTGACCTTGAACTTGGCATCTTCCTACCTCAGTTCCTAGAGTAGCTGGGATGGCCTGGCTTACTTTTGTTTTCCTGAGTAGATAGTGAGGAAATGAGTGGCTGGATCCCATGGGAGCACCCTACTTAGTGTTTTGCGGACCCCCCTGGCCGCCATGGTCCTGGTTTCTCCACATCCTCCCCAACACCCACAATGCTCTGCCAGCAGCCCTCTGGGCAGGTGTGAAGGTCTGCCCTGTAGTTCTTCTAGTGGCAGCTGAAGCCAAGCACTCTTCGTGTCCCTCGCCATTCATTTGTGCATCCTTGAGGAGATGCCTGCTTCGATAAATCACGAGAGTTCTTCACATCTTCTGGACACTGGACCTTTTGTCAACTATAGGATTTGCTGGTATTTTCCCCAATTCTGAGAACTGACCTTTCTCTTTATTGAGAGTATCGTTCTTCCTTTAAAGATTTATTTATTTAACATATAGACAATGTTCTGTCTGTCTGTATGCCTGCAGGCCAAGAAGAGGGCACCAGAGCTCATTACAGATGGTTGTGAGCCATCGTGTGGTTGCTGGGAATTGAACTCAGGACCTCTGAAGAGCAGCCAGTGATCTTTACCACTGAGCCATCTCTCCAGCACCCCAAATCTTTAAAGTAACAGAGCATGTTTTAAGTTTCCTTTCTTTAAATGCAAAGCAGTATAGAGAACATGGTTTAGAACAGCCCAGCTCTCTGGGATGACTTGTGGCTTTGGGTACAGAATTAAGTGACACTTGGGTGAGGCTGGAAGCCGGCTGCCATGAGGGAGCACAGAGGAAGGGAAGTCCAGCCTCTCCTGAGGCGATCTCCGGATCTACACTTCCTGTCAGTGCTTTGAGGAGATGTCTTAATGTCTGCCTACAAAAGCTGGAGCGTGCTCATTTGCATGTGTGCTTCATCTTCCATGTGATAAACACCGGAGTCTTGGTCCCCACTCATACTCGCTGGGCTAACCCACGGAGCAGGCATGGTCCCAGGTTTGTCCCCCCCTGAGCTCACAGCATTTTAATGCATCTCCTGGGGTCGCAGAGTCAGGAGCTGGTGGAGGGGGTTGAGAGCCCAACCTCTGACTTTCATAAGCAGCATCCATGCTCAGGGAAGCACAGGCTCAGCTGTTTTTCTCTGGAAAGTTGACAGCACCCCGTCCCCAGGATGCTTGCTCTCACCTGTCTCCTGGAAACATCACTGCATTGGGCTTCTTGGTTCTACCTGAGTTACAGGTTTTACTAGAAGCTAGCTTTGACCATTTCTGGGTGTAGCTGCATTTGTCCACCCATATGTGGGGCAGCATTCTTCATCATAGTCAGGGGCTTGAAGCCACAGGGATAGACAAGTAGCAAAGTTACATGCTGGATATGCAATGGAGCTTGGCTCAGCCCTGGACAGGAAGGAGAAGATGCAGAGGGGAAGAAGCCAGTCGCGAAGTGACATCTGCAGTGTCATTCTTTTCACACGAGAGGTCTGCAGGAATCAATTCCCTCCACAGAGACACAATGGGGCTGGGGAGCCGCTAGTTCAAGTACAGGTTTGGGCTTGGGAGGTTTACAAAGTCCCAGGTGGTGATGGTTACACGTGGATGGCCTTGAAGCTGCTGTACTTACAGTTATCATGTAAGTTATCATGGTAAATCTTTCCGTGTATATGTTCATGTATGGGCGTGTGCACATGTGGAGGCCTGAGGTCATCAGGGGTCCTCAGTCACCCTCCACCTCTTTTTTTACGACAGGCTCTCACTGAATCTGGAGCTCACTGCCCATTCAGTCCTAGGATTACAGGCTTGAGCCACCACACCTGGGTTTTACATGGGCACTGGGGATCCAAACTCGGATCACCTCGAGTCATTGCCCACTGAGTCCCACAATGTGGTAAACTGTGTATTTTGCCGGAATAAAAAGACCCGTTTTGAGACCTGACGATCACCACCTTATTAGGCATTTTCGATGCGGCTATTTTGAAGCGTAGCTTTTGTTGCTGGTTTTGCTTGTTCAATTCCTGGGTTAGCCACAAGCCAACAATGGTTTTTTGTTTGTTTTTGAGATATAATCTAACAAAATAATCCTAGCTAGTCTGGGACTTGCAGGGATTTGCCTGTCTCTGCCTGGGGAGTGCTGGAAGCAAAGGCATGTGTCACGACTCCGGACTCTAACTGTACCACATAAGGCAAGTTTTCGTCAGGCTGGAGATGTGGCTCAGTGGTAGAGTACCGGCCTGGCATGTGTTAAAGCCCTGGCTTCAGTCTGTAGCGCTGTGCACACCAGGCATGCTGGCAGATGCCTACAATCTCAGTGCTTGTTGGGTAAAGGGAGGAAGAGCAGCTGTATAGCGAGCTGGACACCAACCTGGGCATGAAGAGACTCAAGGGAGAAAGGCCTGACATTGCAACTTACCCCTTCAGTCCCAGCACTCCGGAGGCAGAGGCAGGCGGATCTCTGTAAGTTGTAAGTTCGAGACCAGCCTGATCTATGTAGCGAGTTCCAGGATAGCCAGAGCTGCATAGCAGGACCCTGACTCAACAAACAAACCAATCCAAAAGAAAAAAAATTAGGGCATGGAAAAGGTCACCACTGGAGTTTGTCTTTCTCAGTGGGGTTGATTTTCCTAAGTCACATGGTGTCTACTGGCCACCTAGGGCTCAATGCCCTCCGCTGTCTCTGTGGGTTATTAGTCATTGCTACCGGATCACTTAAGACTCAAGGCATGTGTCTGCTGTAAATTCCCTCTGAGGACCTGACTCTCAGCCTGTGAAATCAGCCCCTATAGTATCTGGTACTCTAGAATTATATGGGGGGGGGGGGGGGATATCTCCCTAGGATACCTGGCTCTGTCTTGGAGTATAAAGGAAGAGTATCTCCCATGTCTGGCTCTGTCTGGGGGCATGTCCCCCATGATTTCGACTCTGTCTGGGGGTGTAGGGGGTGTCCCCCATGATGCCTGGCTCTTTCTGGCATGGGGGGGTGTCCCCAGGATATCTGGATCTGTTTGGGAGTATGCAGGGGGCAGGCATCCTCATGATGTATGGCTCTGTCTGGGGATATAGGGGGTGTCCCCCGTGATGCCTGGCTCTGTCTGGGATGGGGGGGTGTCCTCAGGATATCTGGATCTGTCTGGGAGTATGCAGGGGGCAGGCATCCTCATGCTGTCTTGCTCTGTCTGATGTAAATTGTTGCAGCTAGGGGGCGTCCTCCTAGCGTCGGTTGAGGCCTGGGTATTGCTCCATGCTTAGCATAGCACATTCCACAGCTTACTGCTGGGATCTAGCCCCGTCTCAGTATCCTGAAGGCAGAAACCCCATGCAACCTCAGACGTCATCAGGATGTGTCTTAGCAGTCAGTGTGGAATCTCATCGATTGGGACTTTTTTTTTTTAAACCAGGATTTTTGGAGAAAAACAATGACCTGCTTTACAGACACCTGAAGGAGGTAAGTTTGAATCTTCATCCCACATGTTTTTAACGGTGAGGTCATGGCCTATGACAGAAATCAATGGTGGCTCTGGAAGTTCTGGAACTTTCTTGCCCATGCATTGTGTCCTAAACTGGAACTATGGCAGTCTGTCATCCTCTCTAGCACTTAGGACCAGGAGGATGAAGTCATCCTCAGCCACACAGGGAGTTCTCGGCCAGCCAGGATGACACCAGACCCTGTCTAAGAAAACCAACAGGATTTCCTGCTTTAAGGCTGAACAAACTCTATTAGATAAATAGAAGCACATTTTGTATGGTCTTAATTTTATTAAATTAAGGACTTCTTCCAGACGTGGTGGCACACACCAGCACTCGACGGGGGGATGGGAAGATCTTGAGTTTAGGGCCAGCCTGGGCTATCTAGTGAAACTGTCTAAAAGAAAAAAAACGAAGTCCAAGATGAGAAGAGGAGGAAAATGACGAACAATGAGAGGCTGGGCTTGGACTTAGTGTGTGCAAGGTGCCCAGTATGATTGTAACAAGAATAAAAGAGCCTGCATTTTTCTTATAACAGATTATTTCTGAAAATTGATGGAGCAAGGCCAGATAATGCAAAGCCTAGAGTGTTTGGCTTCATGCCACCATGTCTGTCTCCTGCAAGCCAACATCTGCCGGCTTCCGAGTTCTCCTCCAGAACTGGAGGCCAGGCTGTGTGTTCCCGTCCTTCCCTGCACAGAAGTGCACTGCACCTTGCACAACCACTTACTCCCCGCTCTTAGGATTGATTGTGCACAGGTTGGCTTATTCCCCGGCACTAAGCGGGTCTGGGGAAAGTCTCATGTCATCATGTTAGAGAAAACCAGATACCCCCACAAGCACACAAGGCTGGGGCTGCTGCATCTAGACGCCTTCTCCCAGTGTGCTCTTTGGCAGTGTTGAGCGTGGAAGCCATTTGTGTGGCTTCCCACTTTACTGTAGGGGGGAATGTCTTTAAGTGCCCATGGAGAGGGTGGCTCTGCTGTCTCCTGGCCTCCGATGATTCCTAGAGCAGCGAGCTCAATGCTGGTCCTCTTCACACAGGTGCTGTGTGGGTCCCAGAACAGCATTCTGAGGGAGTGTTTCCTGGTGGCAGAGCTGGAAAACCGGAGGCGGCCACCAACGGTGAGTAAGTGAGCACTGAGAAGCTGGTGTGGTTTAGCAAGGGGGCAAAAGTCCCAGGGGACAGTGACTATTCGATACTGCCCCTCTGAAGCCACCTCTCTCCCCTTCTCTCTAACAGACAAGCACAAAATATCAATTCATTCTGTTGCAGACCATCACTGACACCTCCTGTGCAGGCAACTGTCCTGGGCTGGGGGTTCCCTGTCCTGGGGGGGGGGGGCTTACAGTCTGGGAGGGAGAGAATTAGGAAACTCAGGGGAGACAGAGGGGCTGGACCCAGTGGCGACCTGGCTCCCTGAGGTACTCTGCATGTGTGACAAAGCCCTAAAGGAAGACAACTTACAAGTTGATTTGATTCCTGACTTTAGATTGCACCCCAAGGCCTCCTGTTGTGGGTGGCATGGCATGCCCTGGCAGAGAAGGTGTGGAGCATGCACAAGGAATTGTGGGAAATGTATTCTTCAAAGCACAGCTTTAGTAACTTACTTCCTGACTAGGCCATGCCTTTTAAAGAACCCACGCCCTCCTAAAGACCACCACCACCACTATTCGCAAAGACCATGGGCTCTGTATCGATCAGTGATTCCTTTTTCAGTGAGGTCAGGGATCTCTGGTCACTGTAAAAGCTGCTGCACGGAGATTTATGATTCCAGTACATGGGCCTTCGAGGGACATCTCAGATCCCAGCTGTAATACCGCGACTGCTTCCCCTTGGGTGAAGCTAAGAGCCTGGGTGGATGTCTGCCTGAGCAAGGCACAGCCCCCTCCCTGTCAACAGGCCCAGCCATTGCTCAAGATAGGAAAATCTCAATGTGCCTTAGAAGCTGGCCACTCTTGCCTGGCAAGCCCCAAAGCAATGGGAACTCATCATCCTAGATCAGCCTCCAGTCAGTGGGCAGAACGCTAATAGGCAGAGGTCAGGCCTCGGGGGCTGGAGCCTTGGCTGGGTGTGCGCTCAGTGTGTTTTCACCACACAGGTTGGGACTCAGTTTAAGAACAGCCTGAGTAGCCTCCTGGAACTTCTCACCTCCAAGGAGCCTTCGTACATCCGCTGCATCAAGCCTAACGAGAGAAAGGAGCCCAGTAAGTCACCCACCCAGAGACCTTGGAACTGGGGGTGGGGGGGGTGGGAGCACAGCAGGGTGGCGGGTTTAACCTCAAAGCCACCACAGCCACGCCCTTGAACATGAACTCTAACAATAGAAGAAGGCTGGGTTGTGGCTCAGTGGGTGAAGCGCTTGCCTTATAAGTGTGAGGATCTGAGTTCAAATCCCCAGCACCCACATAAAGCCGTGTCTGTAAAGGCAGTGCTCCTATGGAGGGACGGGAGGCTGAGACTGAGTCTCTGGAAGCTCATGGGCTAACCTGGTGTCCCAGTGCACATCGCAAACAGCAGGATGGATCCTATCTGCAACAAGACAGGAAGGGCAGACTAACACTGAGGCTGCCCTCTTACCACCACACATGCATGTGTGAGCACACACACACACACATACACACACACAGAGAGAGAGAGAGAGAGAGAGAGAGAGAGAGAGAGAGAGAGAGAGGCTGAAACATAAAAGAAGGGGCTGGAGAGATGGCGCCAAAATGAAAAGCAGGTACTGTTCTTACAGAGGAGCCGAGTTTAATTCCCAGCATTGATAAAAGGTGCCTCACAACTGCCTGTAGTTTTGGCTCTGTGGGATCCAATGTCCTCTTCTAGAGTCTGAGAACACCTGCACACACACACACATACACACGCACACACACACACGCACACATGCATGCACACACATATGTACACACATGTGCATGCATACACAGGCACACACGTGCACACACACATTTTAAATGTAAAATAAACTTTAGAAAAGGGCTGAGCATCATAGTACACCTTTAATCCCAGCACCCCAGGAGGCAGAGGTAAGCAAGGGGAAAAAAGAAAAGAAATAAGAACAACAGATGATAGACATATTGAGAAGGGCTTCTTTGATGGTCCAGACAGAGCCTGGTGATGCCAGACAGGTGTCCAAGGTGACAGGAATCAGAGTGACAGATGACAGGAGAATTCTCTGCAGCAGTGAACAATCTTCTAGAACAGCCTGCGACTCTGGGGCATGTTCTCGTTCTAAGCTCTCTGAGCAGAGACCCGGCAGGTGACTGGGCCTGAAGTGTGTTCTCCCTAGAGAGGTGACAATAGGAAGAAGCCCTTCGGCCCGTTGCTGCCTGTGAGATTCCGAGCTTCCTTAGTGGACTTCGGGATTGTCAGTAGAAACTAGAACCCTTCCACCTAAGAAACACAGCTGAGGCCTAATAGCCGGTCTCTGTGGCTGGACCCAGCCCGGAGCAGCAGCCTGGAAGCTTGGCTTAGGTGGAGCTGAGGGAGCCTTTCCAGTCACTCTCTCTTCTATTTCCCCAAAGGCAAGTTTGACGACTTCCTCATCAGTCACCAGATCAAGTACCTGGGACTGATGGAGCACCTGCGTGTGCGCCGGGCAGGCTTCGCCTACAGGCGCAAGTATGAGCACTTCCTGCAAAGGTGAGGCCTCTGGGCTAGCGCAGAGGGCACTGCAGGGTGTCCTGATGGCTTCTATATGTCCTTCTCTATTCCTGGCAGGTACAAGTCTTTGTGCCCAGATACCTGGCCACACTGGCACGGCCCCCCAGGAGAGGGTGTCGAGAGGCTGATCAAGTATATCGGCTACCAACCTCAGGACTACAAGTTAGGAAAGTAAGTGGCCGGGAAGCCCCCAAACTGTCTCTCCCCTGTGCTGATCCGCATGGAGCAGGCGTGTGCAGCCTCTGATGTGGAGGTACAGTGCTGCTGTCAACAAAGTTCTCACTGCAAATTGCTCAATTGAAATGGAAAAAAAATCTTTAAAATTCTTATTCACTGGTGTTCATGGCTGCACAGAGCCCAAGAGCTGGACATGCCTGGAATTGCCTTGTGTTTTTTTGGGGAAACTCTGTTTGAAAGCCAGTTCTGCTACTAGATTTAAATGCAGCTGAGTGGTCATAGTGAGAATCAGTGGATGCAAAGAAGACAGGTGTCTCAGGCTTGGCACCACTGCTGGGTGGAGCCTCTGCCTACAAAATGAAGAGGGCGCAGGATAGGGCCCTGCCTGCCCTGGCTAGGCTTCTCTTACTGCTCACAGAGAACTAACTTCATTTTGCTTCATTCTTAGCAAGCCAAAATGGTATTCTAGAACCTCGGGTACCACTGTAGGGATCCAGTATGTGGAGCAGAGATCTTCCCCATGTGTTGACCACTTTTGGGCACTCACTCAGATTAGCCAGGATGACTTGGGTCTGTACTGTTAGTCATTCTGGTCAGGGCTATTGTGGCTGTAAAGAACTGTGTTCAAGCCTCAAGAGGACCAGTTCTTACACAACAGGGCCTAACTGTTTCAGGAATGCCTGCCTGCTTCAGGGATGCCTGCCCCTGGCTCTACCAATGATCAGTCTGCCAGCTCTGGCCCAGCTTAATCCATCCACATCCCTGAGATGGCCACACAAATCCATGCACATTCTATAACCCTGGAACTGGCATCACAGGGCATGGCATGCTGCCACCACACTCAATAGCTGCTCTGGGAAAGTCTCCAGCACAAGGCACTATGTAGTTGGTGCCCCTTAGCATCCCTCCTGAAACCCCAGAGGCATAACTGTGAGCAACTTCAGGTAGCATGGTAGATTCACTCTTTAGGGCTACATGAAAAGTCACCAGAGCAGAAATGCATTCTCACAGTTCAGGGTCCAAGAGAAAGGCGTGGGCAGGCCAGGCTCCATCTGGAAGGTCTTCACCATCTCTGGGAGCTCTGGCAGGCTCCGGGCCTTCCCGCACTGATAGGACTGCTCTTGCCTGTTTGGTTACACATCCTTTCTAGCTCTGATAAAGGACACTCCTTCAGGACCTGCTCTAACCTACTGCCTCCCCTCTGTCCCTACTGTAAAATCACATCTGCAAAGAGAGCCACGCCCCACAGAGATCACATTCTAAAGTTCTGATTGGACGTGCCATGGGGGTGGGACACTGCCCAACCATCGTGGGTGGCGACTGACTGGCCAATAATTACATGTTTCTTTTTGCTTTTGCTAGAACCAAAATATTCATCCGCTTTCCCAGAACTCTGTTTGCTACTGAAGATGCCTTTGAATTTAGTAAACATCAATTAGGTATGATCTTTTTATCCCACTTTCAAGAGAAATGAAAAAGTTTAACCAGGGAGTGAGGGAAGAAAAACCTCAAACATGGGTGTCTATGTGTTCAAAGACCTCACTGAAGAACCAGGGATAAGGTGTGGGGCTATAGGGTTATGATGGACCCCTCTGGACTGATGGGCTCCGAGGGCAGGAGGAGACATGCTCTATGTCCAGGCTGTGGCGTTCTAGGACCTTTATGCACACCGAAGTGTAGTTATGGGAGACCCGCCCCCTCAGTCCAGCCTTCACCAGTTCCTTTACATATGTGGTGATGGCAACAAGTTTGCCCTCAAAGCCCACAGCCAGGGTGTTTTCGTGAATGGCAAGTGACAGGAGTTGGATGGTGGACCAGGCACTTCCTGTTTCTGCACACTGAGCAGCTGAGGTCCCTGCTCTGTGCCATATGCATCAAGTCCTTGACCAAGTCACATTCCAGACCAGGCCTGTTAGTAGGCCTACTGCCCCCACTGCACATTCAGGAGAACTGAGGCACAGAGACGCCAGGAAGCTGCCGAATATCACACAGCTGGTCTGCGGCAGAGCCAGGCTTGAACTTGGGCCAGTCTGGTTTCAAGGTTTGATGGTTGCACATGCTAGGCCAGCTCTCTACCACTGAGCACCTCCAGCAGCAGGTACCCATGGCCACCCACCAGTGAGATGAAGGCTCTGGCTTAGCCAGACTTCAGGGGTTTGCATCAGCACCTCTTCCTAGAGGCTGTGCAGTTGCTGGTGTCTGAGGCCCTCTGTGAGCTTGGCCTCTGGTAGGACCTTTCACTGTGTGGAGGGGGTGATGGGAGTCAGAGCTGAAGGGTGTCCGGGTGCTCACACTGCTCAGCTGGTGTCCTCCTAAGTCCGCTAGTCATCTCTGACCGAGCCTGCGTGTTTCCTTTGGAGATGCACCCTTGTCCTCCCCACCTTGAGGATGATGTCTGAACTGGGCACTGTTACCTGCGCCTCTTCCTCTACCCGTGGACGTTGAGAACCATACATGCCTGGGAGCCAGGCCTAATGGAGCCAGCTGCTCCTGTCTAATACTTAGCACCCTAAGAACGGCTACACTGCAGGCTCTGGATCCCAACTCTGGGGTGGGGTGGGGGTTGGTCCTTCCTGCTTCTGGGAATCATAAAGACACAGAAGCCAATTCATCAAAACTTTTAAGTTTCAAGAATCCAAGCTACATACAAAGGCTGCCTGCGGAGGAGAGACTACATGAGGAAGAGACAAGCAGGTGAGTTCGGGCAGGAAAGGGTGTGATGAGCCCTTCCCTGTCTACCCCATCCTTACACCCTTGTCTGTTCTGTAATCATGGCATGGTGGCCTACACTTGTTCCATGCACAGACTTTACATGTGTCAGGAACTTGTCTTCATGTGCGCCTGTTGAAGCTAGAGGTCACGGTTGAGCATCTTCCGTCTCTTTTCACCATATTTTTTTTTGAGACAAGGTCTCACTGACTGATTTGACCGGAAAGTCTAATGAGACCCAGGGATCTTCTGCCTCCACCATCCCTTAGCACTGGGAGCAGACATGTGCTGCTATGTCCAGCTTTTTGTATGAGTACTGGGATTTGAACTCGGGTCCTCCAGGTTGCACTACGGCATCATCTCCCCATCCCCTAAGAGTAATTTCCTTTAAAGTTTTGCACATCACTAAAACTCATTTGGAATGACATTTTCAAGGGATATTCCCATCCCTGTTTCTTAGATTTTCTGTTGAATTTTATGGTTCTTACTCCTCCATTTTTCTTTTTTATATTTTTATCATCTATGGACGTGCCAAAATAGCACAACTTGACAGGTGTTGGTATTTTATGGCTGCATTTTTATTCTGAATTGTTTCTGAAATTCAACCAGGAGATGCATGGTTACTTCTTTTCAAAGCTGTATACCATTCCTTTATGACAGAGATCAGCAAGACAGGAATATTCTCCATCTATGGGTCATACAGTCTCCACAGTTACTCAACTGTGCTGCCACCGCCTCAGAATTGCTTTAGGCAGTATGTAAATGAGCAGATTTAACTGTATTGCAATAAAACTTTATATAAATGAGCAGCTGGTCATCAGACCGTGGTCCACCAGCCCCATGGGCTCTGAGTACTGCAATGTGTTATCTCCAATAGAGACACTGCTGACATGGGGGAAGAGATGGCAGAGAGAGAGAGAGAGAGAGAGAGAGAGAGAGAGAGAGAGATTGAGATTGATTAAACATGGAGGCAGGCCAGGCCCCAATTTTTCACGTCTCTTGTGAATCTCCATCTTTGAATGTGGAACTGGAAGTTGGCACTGGGTGCTGGAAACTAAGTACAGGGATAAGATGAGGCTGTGGTCTCAAGGGTGGTCCCTCCTGGAACCTTCAGCTTCCACAAAGATTCTCTCAGCCCCTGCTGCTACCCTGCTCTGAGCAGCAGGTATGAAATGTCAGGATCTCTGGGATCAGCAGGGTCCACAGGTGGGCAGTCAACATAACTGGGCCCTTCTGGAAAAGCCAGCGGTACTTCTGCATGACCATCCTACCTTCTAATGAGCAGCGGCTTCTTTTCAGCCACAAAATTAGAAGCCTACTGGCGCGGAGCCCTGGCTCGGAGGGAGATCAAGAGGAGAAGGTGGGCTGTGCAGATCATCCAGAGGTAAGATGTCGGCATCCAGGGACCAGCACGCTGCAGTGCTCATGGGATTGCTGGGGTTTCTGTGACTCTTTGGTGTTTTTGGAGACAGGGTTTCTGTTTCTGGTTGTCCTGGAACTCTGTAGACCAGGCTGGGTTCGAACTCAGAGATCCTCCTGCCTTTGACTCAGTGCTGGAATTAAGGGGTGTGCCGTAGGCCGCCTGGCTCTCTGTGACTGTTTGTGAGTGTGGGCAGGAGAGGGCCCTGGCTCTCTGGAAGAGGAGCAGAGGTATTTGTGAGCTGCCTGCTGTGGGTGCTGGGATTGAACTTCAGTCTTCGTGACTGAGTAGCATCATAGCCATCTCTCCAGCTGCGGTTTTGGTTTGTACAGAAAGATCAGCCCTTAGAGCAGGCTGGGAATCCAGCTGTTAGCTCTCCAAATCCTGACTGCCACAGCTCAGCTGAGTGTTGTGATATCCCTTAGTCAGATGGCTTCCAGAGTGAGGCAGGCAAAGGGAGCAAGTCTCACAGATGGGGATGGACACGGTGCCGTGGGGACTGCAAGCCAATCAGGAGGCCATCTGTCTGTCATCGCCAGCGTGGCCAGCCTTCCTCTTTAGGGAAAACTGACGTCTGACTTTTATGTCATGCCGCTCATTTTTTTTTTTTTCCGAGACAGGGTTTCTCTGTGGTTTTGGAGCCTGTCCTGGAACTAGCTCTTGTAGACCAGGCTGGCCTCGAACTCACAGAGATCCGCCTGCCTCTGCCTCCCGAGTGCTGGGATTAAAGGTGTGCACCACCACCGCCTGGCTATGCCGCTCATTTTTAAACTGGCAACTACCTCAAGCTAGTTAGAACAGAGCGGTGCTGGGGCAGGTGTGGCGGGTGGGGTTCCTGGCCGTGTGGCTGAGTAAGCCACCGATGTCACTTTCCTCTTGAGGTTCATCAAGGGTTTCATCAACCGAGACAAACCCCTCTGTCCTGACAATGAGGAGTTTGTAGTGCTCGTGAAGAAGAATTACATCTTGAATCTTCGCTACCACGTGCCAAAGACTGTGCTGGACCAGAGCTGGCTGAGGCCTCCAGGCATCCTGGAAAATGTAAATCTATAGTGGGCTGCTACTGTTGCAGATGGTGGGGTGCTAAGAGCTTACCTTCTGGGTGTCCCGTTTCCCTTTGGTTCAACAGGGCTGCTTTTCAAAGCTCTTAGAAGAAATGGAATGCCTCAGAATTCATCAGTGGGGCTATAAAACCAACAGACACGTTTAGACAGAGCCTTTTTTTTTAAAAAATATTTATTTATTTATTTACTATGTATACAATATTCTGTCTGCATGTATTCCTACAGCCCAGAAGAGGGCACCAGACCTTATTACAGATGGTTGTGAGCCACCATGTGGTTGCTGGGAATTGAACTCAGGACCTTTGGAAGAGCAGGCAATGCTCTTAACCGCTGAGCCATCTCTCCAGCCCCAGACAGAGCCTTTTAAATACACAGGGGCTTACTATATAGCCCAGGCTGGCTTTGAACCTGTAACCTTCCTGCCTCAGCCTCCCATGTCCTGAAATTACAGACATGTGGCAGAGCACTCTGAATGGTTTCCAACCATGCTGTAGTAGTCTTGAAGCTAAGTGACTGTCACGGGTTCCACAAAGAATGTTCTAGAGCAGTGGTTTTCAATCTTCCTAATGCTGCACTCCTTGAACACAGTTCCTCATGTAATAATGACTCCCAACCACAAAATTATGTTCATTGCTACTTCGTATCTGTAATTTTGCTTGTTATGAATCATAATGTAAACATCTGATATGCAGGATCTCTGATATGTAACCTCTGTGAAAAGGTCATGACCCATAGGTTGAGAACTGTGCTTCCAAAGCAGAGTGGCAGCTCCTCTTAGGATCCCTGGACTCCACCGCAGTCCCACCCTGTGAGATTCTTTGTCTCATTTCCACAGCCTCCCCTTTAAGAAACTCTGATCAAGTTAGCAAGAACTAGTTCAGGGGTGCTGACCGAGTGTAAGATACTGATGTCTCGCTTCGATCACAGTAATATGCCCTTAAGCTGCCACGTGGGTCACCACAGCCCACGCACGGAAGGAGTGAGGCAGGTGGGAAAGAGGCGTGTTCTCCACACAGGCTTCGAACCTGCTCAGGAAGATGTGCGTGAGGAACCTTGTTCGGAAGTACTGCCGGGGAGTCTCAGCCGAGAGGAAAGCCATGGTAGGGCAGAAGATGTGGCATCTGCATGGTAGTGGGGACATCTTGCACATCAGAGTCTTAGTACTAAAGCCGACATTTACCGTCTACCTATGAGCCAAGGGTCACACTATTCCCATGGACTTATAAAGGAGGTGAGAAATAGCAGCAGCTACAATTAGCATCCCCGTGTTGTTACCATGGGAACAGAATCAAGGAGGCCCCTGCACTGTACGAGGCAGAATTGCCTGTGCCAGGGGACTCTTGCCCCTGTAATCTTTTCTGTGAAGGGCTGCAGAGTCAGTCTTTGAGGCTTTCTGGGCCAAATGCCCTGTTGTTCCTTTGCTTTCTTGCTATAGCAGGAAGCAGTCACAGACATGTATATACAAACACCATAGCTATGTCCCAATAAAGCTTTACTTACAAATACAAGCAGTGGGTCACAAGCTACCTCTGGGCTGGAGTTGCAGAGACGCTTTAGGAGAGAGAGGTCTTCGGGTTTCTGTGAAGAGACACCTTGACCATGGCAACTCTTACGAAAGAACATTTAATTGGGGATGGCTAGCATTTTCAGAGGTTTAGTCCATTATCACCACGGTGTGCAGGCAGATGCTCTGGAACCGAGAGTCCTACATCTTGATAGGCAGGCAACAGGAAGTGGTCTGTCTCACTGTGCTTGGCTTGAGAATATGAGACCTCTAAACACTCCTTCGCAGTGACACGCTTCCTCCAGCAGGATCACATCTCCTAATAGTTTCACACCCTTTGGGGGGACATTTTTTTCAAACCACCACACTCTCCGAAGCTCTGAAACCTCCACCCACAAACCAGTGTAAGGGTACCCACAAAAGTACCAGCCCAGTCTCCACCAGGATGAGCTGTAGGGCATCTGTGACAAGGCTCCTGCCGGGAAGCAGCCCAGGGCCACCTCGTCTACGCTCTGAACTGTCTGTTTCCAGATGCAGCAAAAGGTGGTCACGAGCGAAATCTTCAGGGGGAAGAAGGACGGCTACACAGACAGCTTAAACCAGCCCTTCGCCCGCAGCCGGCTGGGTGAGTAAGCGTTTGGATCAGAGGCAGGGAGGAACACAGACTCGGCAGGCGGCAGGTCTTCCCTACAGGGTGGTGACCCTGCTATTCTGGCTCCTTCCCCTAGATGAAGGCGACATAAATCCCAAAGTGCTCCAGTTGCTTGGCAGTGAAAAGATCCAGGTATACCCTTGTGTGCGGCCTCCGCCAAGACCCTTACTCTGTCTGAGGCCAGGGCATGTTCTCCCTCCGAGTGTCTAGAAATGCTAAAGCACAGGGGTGCAGTTGGGTTTGCTGGGGCTTCCCACGGCCACTCTGGGCACTAGGTGGCATTTGCCAACGGAAGCCTACTACCATTCCTGCCTCCAGTCATCCCACAAACCATCTTGGTTTGCTTTTCTATGAAACAAGAGATGTAGCCAGGACCTGTATCATGAGAGACACCATACTGGTGAGCAGCAGTAGATTGATGATCCCAGTACTGACCTCCTCTCTACACAGCTGCCAGTCATGTGTGACTTTGGGGGTGCCTGAGTGGTGAGGAGGGAGGCCCTGGTTTGGTTCTGGAGAAAAGTATGAGAGACTTGAAAACCCAGGAGTCATGAGTGCTCTCCTCTCTGCTGGCCTATCAGAGCAGACCCAGGAGGCTGGATCCACAGTCTCAGTTTCCTCAGAGGGCTGAGTAGTAAGGGAGAACGCAGAATCAAAACCTTCCAGAACCAGGACAGCAAAGCCAAAGTGTTAATACAGAAGCTGAGTCAGTCTGAGGCAGCCCTCCTCCGGCTGACACCAACCACCTTATAGTATGGCGTCCCGGTCATCAAGTATGACAGGAAAGGCTTCAAGGCACGGCAGAGGCAACTCCTCCTCACTACGAGGGCGGCGTATGTGGTGGAACATTCCAAAATCAAGCAGAAGATCGAGTACTCAGCCCTGAGAGGTAGGCGAGCAGTCTCAAGTGGGTGTCTGATGCCTCTCATGTTTCGGGATGGGGCTACTCACTGAGCTTTGGGGCTCAGTGGATGCAACTATTTCCCCCACACACACGGGAGGGGTATAGATACTCCTGAATGTCTCATTTTTATGTGGGTGCTGGGTATCCGAACTCAGGTCCTCAAGCTTGGCCATCTCCCCAGGCCCCGTCTTCTTCATTAATTCTGAATTCTGGATCTATCCTCAGGTGTCTCCACTAGCAGTCTGAGCGATGGAATCCTAGTCATTCATGTTTCACCAGGGGACAAACAGCAAAAGGTACCTGTGCCCTCTAGCCTCCGCTGGTGTGGAAGCTGCTGTGGCTGAAACTAAGTTGAACTCTGCAGAGCCTCCACATTCAAACCACTCATCCTGAACCCGCTCTGTCACCGTCTCCACAGGGGGACGCCATCCTGCAGTGTGACTACATATTTGAGGTGGCCACTAAACTGGCCATGCTGATTAAGAAGGAACATGTCCGCGTTGTTCAAGGAAGGTAGGGACTTAGTCACAGTTACAGGGCTGCCAGCATGAGTCCCATCTGCTTCCTCCTGCAAAAAGATGGAAGGGGGGAATCCTCCAATGGGGATTAGGGGGAGACTCCCCTTGCCTCTGTAGCAAAGAGCAGTCCTTTCTCCATCTGATCTTGGGCTCAGGGTACACAAAGGAGTATCACTGACCTCAGGAGTCATCTTCCTCAGTTTTCAAAGAGGGTGCTGATGTTCCTGGGACTGCTATCACTGACCCAGTGTGCCCAGAGGGTGCAGGCTCACCTCTGCTGTGGTGGGGTGCCTGTGGACTGACTGGCCGTCAGAAGGGCTGGGGTGGGGGTGAAAGGACTGGCACCGAGAGACAGAGAATTGGTCGGTTCTCTCGGTAGCAGTGGAGCAGCCCCTTAGCTGTTCAGTCCCCCAGCAAGGCCGGCTGACGTCGGGCTACCCAGCATGCCTGAGGCCCAAGGCTGGCAGTGAGACTGTGGACTGAAGGCCACAGCCGACTCCTGTGTGCAGCCCAAGTGTCCACAGCACCTGCGGCTGTGCTCGCAGCCCCTTCCAGCCGGATGCTCCCGGTAGAGGCCTCGCTCTGCCCCCAGCTTTGACAACAAGGGGTGAATTTGTAGGTAGAGTGTAAGCACGCACTCTTGTCCTGACGGACCTCGGAGGAATCCTCGAGCAGCTGTGGTCGGCAGAGTAAACCACATAGGCATCATTTAAGTACCAGACAGCCCTTTATTTTTTTTAAATATTTATTTATTATTTTAAATATTTATTTTTTATTATTATGTATACAATATTCTGTCTGAGTGTATGTCTGCAGGCCAGAAGAGGGCACCAGACCTCATTCCAGATGGTTGTGAGCCACCATGTGGTTGCCGGGAATTGAACTCAGGACCTTTGGAAGAGTAGGCAATGCTCTTAACCACTGAGCCATCTCTCCAGCCCCCAGATAGCCCTTTAAAGAGCCGAAGTGTGGGACTGGTTTGAGAGTGACTGCAGGAGCACGCGGGACATTTGTGAGAATGTCCTTCTGACTGGCCACATACGTAACAAACAGTATAATAAAGCAGGGATACAAACGCCAGCGAGGGGAGCTTCCCAAAGGAGTTTCTTTTGTAGACTCAAAGGCATGTCAGTAACTCGCCCCTCGCTGTGTTTTAAGCCTGCAGTTTTACATCAGTCCTGGGAAAGAAGGCACAATACTTTTTGAGACTGGAGTAGAAGACCAAGTCTATAAGGATAAAAGCGGACAGCTAACAGTGGTGAGTGGCTGGCTGGAAAGAGGTGGCTGCGTGGGAGGACGCACTAGATGATATGTAAAAGCATGTAACCAAATTGGTTCATTTCCCCCTCTGGTCTCAACTGATTTACTCTGGAAGAAAGGTACAGAATGCCTCTTGAAATAGTAACTTAGTAGTGAGAGAGACAGAGAGGCCAGGTGTCAGTGGACCAGAGGGTCACATGACCCAATTATCATTCACAAGTCTTAAAGCCCAGCTGTTCACTGGCTCACAAAAGCTCTCCCGTGTGGTCAGGTACCACCCTGAGATGCAGAAGATCCTAGGTCTAAGGAGACTCAGAGATATAAAACCACTGCCTCAAGAAAACTGGAGGCTGAGTTCTCACTCACTGTTGACAAGGTCCCCAGAGTCCTCTCTGGGTCGCAGCAACCTGAGGACGGTTTTTGGTAGTGTGGTGCAAGGAAGCAACATGCTGAAAGCAGCTGTGGGTGGGATCTCTGAAATGCATTTTCTACATACATTTAGGCTTACATGTAAAACTGGTTGTTTACAAGTGCCTTCCACAGCAGAGTGGCCGCCGTCCCCGGCCAGGGACAAGTGAAAAGGGTCACTTTGAATGCAAAGTGGGAAGTCTTTTAGTGACGTGAGATGTTGCCAGGACTCTGTGGTCACAGCCCGTCTTCCTCCATGCCTACACAAGGGTGAAGATGGTGCACTGACAGGTCTCTGTGCATTGCTTTCTAAGCTGGCTGTCCCTGAGGAGGTAGAGGGTTCCCAATGGTAGCTTCCTCCTTCAGGGCTGAGACTCTAAAGCCAGGTTTCCTTCTCCTCAGGTGTCAACAGGGAAGAAGACCTGACAGAGAATGACCTTTGCCCTCTAAAGTCAAAGTCACTATTTCTGTTCCAACTGAGCAAGCACGGACTTCATCCAGCAGCTCCTGGAGAGTGTACTGTAGCAGTAGAAACTGTGCTATGCAAAGCCAGCCCCCAGTTTCCTGGGTGCCAAGTGGTAATGCACCCAAATGTTTGCTGGGAGTCAACCTTGAGTCATCCACCTGTCCCCAGGAGATCCCAATTCAGGCACACCAAGAAGTGGGTGGCAGACTTGTCTGTCAAGCTGCTAAGACAATAAGATAATGGAAATTTAACTGCGATGCACAACTTGAATTCTGCTGGAAATGACACTTCCATGCTGTAGGGACTGGGCCAGGTTCCCACAGGCGTGTTAGCTCCTGGAGGGTGTGACACCCCACTACACAATGACTCCAGACAGCACCCTCGCTCTTTGCTGTACACTGCAGCCCCGAGACAGGCAATCCCAAAAAGACCACAAGGCAGATGCGAGTAGAAGCACAGTTTAACGTTTATTTTACATGTGTCTACAGACGCTTGCACAAGAGTGATCATGTCTAAAACCCCCAGCATTGTTTCCACAGTGCACACAGGAAGGTTAGGGGTGTGCTAAGGTGACCAGTGACTTTGGGTGGCGTCCTCTAGCCTGCACACACCCTGGGGAGGGCTGAGTACCAGCAGTGAGCAGCAGGGAGGAAAAGTTGTACCTACATGGGACCATGACTTAGAGAGGTCAAACAGCCAATCTTCCCCAGGAAGGCGACAGAAGGCTGTGCCTGCTAGGGGTGTGGGCCCCAGTTGCCACAAACACAGAACTTGGTTATGATGGTTAGCTATTCCAATCTATTTTAATTGCGAGCCATTAGTGTGCAATAAAACTTCACTCTTTACACCAAATCCGAGGCCAGTGTTTCACTGAACGGCTCTGAACTGCAGTGCTGACGACTGCCCTTCGTGCTAGAAGCAGAGCTTTGGAAGGCCTGACTCTGGATCAGGCCCTGGCAGACACAGCTGTCGGCGTTTCTGGCACCTTGGAATGTTTGCCAGGCCTGTTCCTATCCCTGGGTGCGGAGGTGCAAAGTTGCAGGCACAAGGTTTGAGGAAAGAGTAGAGAGAGCTGCCAAAAGAGTAACGTAAGGCGCAGAGGCCAAGGCAAGTCACCTACGCCACCAACTCACTCTGCACACGCACATTTAAACAGTGTAGACAGTGACTTTCCTGTTCCTACAGAACACACCAGGACTGACACTCACTTTTACTTCCCACGAAAGTTGAACCCACAGGGTGGGGCTGACGTTTAAAACAAACAGTATAAAAAACTCATGAAACATGATCTGTAAGCTCCCTTTCTTGGCTCTGAATACAAAAGTTTTGCCATACCATTGTGTAAAAAGCATCTACACGGTTCCTCGATCCAGTCGGGACTGTTTACTTATTGTTGCCTTTTCTGCCAGACACAAGAGAAAGGTATGCGACTGTCACGCACACAGTGAGCTGTAAAAACCGTCACAAAATAGAAACTTTTTTTTTTTTTTTTTTTTTTTGGTTTTTCGAGACAGGGTTTCTCTGTGGTTTTGGAGCCTGTCCTGGTTTTAAAAACGTTTCAGAGATTACCCACTATCATACCTTTGGTCTAAAATATAATTCAGGCGGTGGTGGCACACGCCTTTAATCCCAGCCTTCGGGAGGTAGAGGTAGGTGGATCTCTGTGAGTTCGAGGCCAGCCTGGTCTACAAAAGCTAATTCCAGGACAGGCTCCAAAGCAAAAGAGAAACCCTGCCTCAAAAAAAAAAAAAAAAAAAAAAAGTAACAATTCCTTCATCAAGTACTCACCTTAACCTTTTAACTAGTCTACTCACAACCACCCATGCCAATCATGACTCATCTACACAGGAGCAGAGGGGACTAGAGGTAACTGGCATGTCCTCCTCACAAGCACCTGTGCCCCACAGTCACACGTCCCCACCAGCAGTCACACACGTCCTCGAACACAAACAAGACTCAAAGGTATCTGCACGCCCACTCTATTCTGCAGGAAATAAAAACCGAAGGGAGCTATACGAGATAGCAGGGAAACGCCCTGAGTCAGCCTGCGAGCTCCTAGGGGTGTCCTTACCCGATGCCACCATGTTGGGGGGCCACAGTTCCTAACCAAGGGCAAGATGCCCACTTAAGGAAAGGAGGCCTCACAGGGAGCAGACCCTTAAGGCAGTGGTCAGGAGCAATGGCTGCAGGTATTCAGATGACCTTCTGGGATGGGAGGAGCACAGAAGACAGCAGAACCCACTGGCAGGAAACGATCTGCTCCTTGCCAGACAGTTGAGCTGCCACACTGAGGGACCACAGAGAGGCTGGAAGCACACTTGGTCCCCTGTCCACTACTACAAGCTGAAACTATTGGCCAATGAGCTCCAGTCATAAAACCGTACACAGAGCAGACTCCCAGCCTGGTCAGAATACACAGGGCCAGGCTGCTCCCAGTTGCCACCTACACAGCCCCTCAGAGCTGTCAAATGAGCCCTTAAAGGAGTGTCACTTAAGCAGCCCTAACAGGTAGTCAACACCTATGAAAATAAATAGTGCAACAAAGGCTCTCACATACATGCCAAACTCATTCACACTCTTCCTCCAAGAGCCAAGAAAGGCCGGCTCCAGGCTCTCATGAGAAGTGGAGTCCTTAGACACAGCTTGTTCAGAAGGGGTGCGCACCTGGGTTAACACAGAGGCAATCCACTTTGTCGAGAAATATCAAAATAATCATCTGGCTTGTTACAAAAGTGTCTCCAGACTCCAGGGGGAAGTGGGAGGTACCCTGAAGCCTGCACAGGGTCTGAGGGGCAGGGGCAAAGGGAGGGTGGAGGGCAGCTTGCGCTTGCCCGCTCACTGGTGGAGGTGGGCCCGGTCATCAGGACGCTTGATGTGGATCCTCCGCACTCGTTCAATCCTCTCCCGTTCTCGTTCCTCATCCTCGTCCAGGTGATGGGAGCGTCCAGCTGCCCCACCTGTGGCCTCGAGGAGTGCATTGTCAGGTCCTCGGCCATCCTGGGCCTCGTACAGCAAAATGTTCAGGGTCTCCTCATAAATGCGGGCTTCGGGGAACTCAACCTGTGCCCCAAATACAAAGTGGGTACATTAGCAGGCTACATATGGCCACTGCCCTACTTCTCAGCAGGGTCATAGGGCTAACAGGCCCCTAGGCTGACAATGAAGATAGTCATGGGGAGCCAACAGTGTCAGACTCGGTGGGGGGGGGGGGGACACGCCCCTTTGTCTGCTGTTTTCTTATACTGGAGCCTCTAGCAGACTCATGGCTGCAACCAGAGCCTTCAGCTGCTCAGGTGCCGCCTTCCTTTCTGGGGGAGGGTGAATCAACACCTGCTGCTTTTTCTCAGCCTCGAGCCCGGCAGCCTCAGACACGGGCCTAGGCACAGAAGATGCAAAGCCCTAGCTTTTTGAGCCACTGAAAGGAGGGAGCACAGGACAATGAAGGTCCTGGGGCTGTGAAGGAGGAAGCCCCAGAAACTATGAACACCTAAACTCCCCACAGTGGCAGGAACTGCTTCTCCACATACAAAGGAGAAGTGGGACACAGTCACCTAGACACACAGGCAACCGACAGTAGGCGTGAGAGGCTGAGGCTGGGAAATCAAACTGATACTACAACTCCAATCACAGGGCTGGTTTGAACTTGTGGCCTGAATCCCACAGTGGCAATTGCCAGCAAAACCAAAACAATATATATTGGGACCAGTGAGATGGCTCGGTGGGTAAAGGTGCCAAGCCTAACAACTCGAGTTCAATTCCCAGAACCCACATGGGATAGAAGAGAACTAGCTCCCACAAAGTGCTCTCTGACCTTTATCCACATGCCAAGGTTGTGTGTGTGTGTGTGGGGGGGGGGGAGACAGAGAGAGAATATTAAAAACAGGAACAATAACAATAAAACCACAGTTCCCTAGGAACGGGACAAGACCTAGTGTCCTACACTGATACTCAAACAGCTAGGACATGGCTGTAAACTACTTGGGATCGTGAAGAAGCAAGAAAATCTCAGTCCGTGGGAAAGCTCACTCAGCAGATGCCAGCGCCACGAGGACACAGCATACGGGAATCACCCAACAAATGCCCCAAAGCAGCTATTACAACAAAACGGCAGCAGCAGCAAGAAGTGAAGACAGGGAAGCAAATGCATGCTGCAGAGCTGAAAACCACAACGACCCAGAGACAGGCTCAGCCATGGTGCTGACCACAGGAAGAGTTCGCAGAAGCCACAACTGAACAGTGACGCCAAGGGCAGATACAAGGAAGGGCGCAGCGCTGTTGGATTAGGGGCCAGACTAAAGGTTGCGCAGGGACAAGGGACAAGAAGAGCAGCCGTGACGCACCAGGAATGCCGTCATCCAGTCACCACCAGGCAAACAGAACAGGCAGCTTAGACCATGGCTCAAGTGTGGAACCACACAGCTCAGCATGTGGGGAGGCAGGAAGGACTGTCATCATCCAGGACCAGTCTTGCCACCACCAGTTACCTGGAAAATCACGGCCTTGGGCTCCCCTGAGGGACACAGTCATCACCAAAGGAGCCAGGGAGAAGAGAAGGGCCCTGACCCTCCCAGCCAGGCTCTGCAACCAACAAGGCTAACAAGCAAGCTCGGGCTTTCTCCTGGAGACTTCTGCTCGTCTAAGATCACTTGGGCTCCAAGCGTATGTTTGCTGAATCCCTTTGCTCCCCAGTAAGCTCTAAAATGAGAACTGGGAACACTGAAGAACTTAACGAGAGCATGAAGCAGCTTGCACAGTGAGCAGGCGCCTCTGGCCCGCAGCCATATTTGAAACAAAGAGCCTCAGCACTCTCCCCTTGGCTATCTCAGAAGCAACCCCTACCTGTCAGGATAGAGTCTGAATACCTGTGCTTAGCATGGACTTAGCACAGCAGTCAACCCTATGCAGGGGAGGAGCAGGAGCACATGGGGAACCACCCTCCCAAGATGGTGGTCATGACGCTCAGTGATGTGCAGCACTTGGCATGACACTTGTCAGCTCCTGTGACTTCAATTTTCATCAGTCAAGGTTCTGGCTTTTCTCTGTGGTCTGGTTTTGTATCACCAGTGTTTTGCTAGCTTTGGGACCCACAAAACTCCATCTCCCAAAGCTGCAGAGGTGACAGTAACTTGATCCAGTGACAGACTGTACACAGGTGACTACAACTGTGGCAATCTGCTTTTGGTAGAATCAAAATGTCACAGGTAATCCAATTTCCCTCAGTTTGAGCAGGAGACAACAGGATGCAGAGCAAGCAGAGGGGAGAATGGGGAGGAGGGAGGCCACCCTCTCCCCGAGTGGGCAAGCAGGCCGAGAAAGTGCAGCTGACAGCCAGCTGGGCTCTAGCAGCACCCTGCTATATGATCCAGCTTTGTAGCACAGCTGAGCAGGAGTGACAGACACTACTGGCTTGAGAGAATGATGCAAAGATAAACCCAATACCCAGCTCAGTGAGGGAGTCGGGTGGAAAGGTGACAGGTGGGAGGCTGAAGGGATAGCTGTGGGGTTAAGAGCATTCATTGGTTGCTCTTCCAGAAGACCCGAGTTTGGTTGCCAGGAACCAGCTCCAGGGAATCCAATGCACCTGCACTCGTGCACACACAGCATGCAGATAATCAATAATTTAAGAAGGAAGGGTGTGTGGGGCCTATGACAGTGGAAGACAGATCTAGATCAGCAGACAAGAGGACAGAGGGTAGACAGTCAAGGGGCAGCCTGGAAGGCAGCAGTGCCATCTGAGTATCTGCGGGGCTGTGCTGGTAGGAAGACTCCTGCACAGGGAGGACAACTCGGCACGGACGGGCTGTCAGAAGGGCCAGCAATGCCAGATGAAGAAGGCACTGGCAGCCAGGTGTACACGGGTGCAGGAACAAACCTGATTCTGCCTGGACTGGCCAGAATGAGCAGGGAGCACGGCCACCTCTGCTTGCCCAGTGTCAGCAGGAACCACACTTGTTTCCCTGAGGCCTAGATACAGACCTGTCCTAGCCCAACGAGGCAGGCAGGGAAGGCATACGTGTCAGCACGCACTTGGGGCCCCCCAACAGCTCTTACTTTGGTCTGCTTCTTCTCCGTGGCATAGACGATGGAGGTGCAACAGACTTCCGCAATTTTTCGGCCCTGGCCGTAAAATGACCAGCAGCAGATTTCATCCCCGATGACGTCCTTTATGAACAGGACCCTCCCGTTAAAGCGCAGGGAAAGTTTATCAAAGAGCTCGATGTTCTTCAACATATTGTCATCAGAATTGCTGCAAAGAGCATTCGGGGAGGTGAGCACAGGCTGCAGCCACTGCAGATGTCCACCCAGTACTTCACACGGCTTCCCCAGCTCCTTTTCTTCCTGTGTTTCTACTTAGTGACCTTTGAGAGAGGCACTGTAGTATCTACCGCCCAAGGGAGAACATGGAAGCTCAAAGACAACAGTTCACAAATGTATAAATGCCAGAGCGGGGTCTCAAAAGACAGCTGTGGCCTGAAGGCTGTGCTCATAACCCATGATGTACGCCTGCCCTACACAGGCCTAAGTACATTACTGAATGCAGGGCCTCTGGGCACAAGCTACTGAGCCTGCCCCATGAGATACATAACAGCAAAGCCCAAGGAAGACTTTTGTTTTTTCGAGACAGGGTTTCTCTGTCTATCCCTGGCTGTCCTGGAACTCACACTATAGACCAGGCTGGCCTCAAACTCACGGAGATCCGCTTGCCTCTGCCTCCTGAGTGCTGGAATTAAAGGTACGCGCCACCACCACTCCTCAAGGAAGACTTTTCATCCTTGGTCAGTCTGTGGGTCTTTAATGAACCCATTAAATCCTTACAGCTCTCAAGTTGCTCATTTACAGAGCATGTTCCTGAGAGTCAAAGGGCACTTGCTGGTGGCATTGTTCAAATAGTGCAGTCCCCACGAACTGAACAATCACAGAAGACCAGCAGCCCACTCCTAGTGTCTAGAAGAAAGGAGCACCTAAGTCCACAAAGCATGTGAACTTGAATTCCTAGCAGCATCAGTCCTAAAAGTCACAAGCCTCAACAACCCAAATGCCCATGCTGATGGCAAATGAAATGCGGAGGTCTGTACGATAAAACAGCCAGAGGAGAGACGCACTGACGGTGCTCCAGTGCACGAACCAGGAAAACATTACACTAAGTGAAGGGACTTGTCACACAACCACGGGACACGTTTGTAACAGGCACATTACAGACACAGAAATGTAAACTAACAGCTGCTGGAGGCCAGGGAAGATGGGGAGACTGCTAGTGGGGTGGGAAATGTCCTGAAGTACGGTGGCTGCACACTGTGGCTATGTCTAAACCACTCGATGGTACAACACCAAGGGTGGATTGCACAGCACGGAGATTCCACTGACATTCCCTCTACCAGCCCACCTATCTACCCAGCTAAAGTGCAGAGGCCCTCCGCTGTGAGTTGACCTATCTACCCAGCTAAAGTGCAGAGGCCCTCCGCTGTGAGATGGACAAGGCAGAGCCTTGCCCGACTGCTGTCTGGCGCTTACCTGGTATAAGAGTATTTGTTGTTACTTCTATTGTAGAGCAATTTCACGGCTGGCTGTGGGTGGGTTAAAGGAGAGGAGTTACTAGGCATACAGGTTCAGGCCTGCAGAGCTTACAGGAGGAGGAGGGTTGCTGCACGCTCCAGGAGCAGAGGTAACATAGATGGGGCTTCCCATTCAGAATCCCTTTTATCTCAAAACACAGGCACTGCCCCCTCCCTACCCCAAACACCCCATACTCATACACATACACACACACACGCACACGCACACACCCCATTCCCAAGCCCCTACACACCTTATTTGAAGTCGCTATAAGCCTCTGTTCTTCCTTGGAGGAGGTGACAACAGGAACCTTGCAGAAGGGTTCATAAGTATCTTTGTTCTGCTGGAACAAAAAATGCTTTCAGCCCAGGGCTCTGCCTAGCGCACCGCTGCTTAAGTTGGTCAGCCAGCAAGCCAGGCCCTGATGAGACACAGGACAGTCCCTGTTATTAGGAAGGGTTAAGACTAGGGGAGGAGTCTGCTGTGTTTGGAGCTGTGGTAAAGAGAAGATGACAGCTCTCTCTGCCCAGGAAACCCTCAGTACGGCAGGTGATGGCATCAAAAGCTCCTACAACCCACTATAATGAGAGCAGCAGAATGAAGAAAGAGAATGCAAGAAGAGAAGTCAGAAGACAGAGAGGTCAAAGGTTGAGCTGGCAAGCAGACACCAGCTGAGAGACATGGAGAGAGCCAGAAGCAAAGCCCATGTGAGGGAGACCTCAGGGACCACCACAGGTTAGGGCCAGGGTGAGGGCAGAGCCATCGCAGGCAGTGGAGAAAGGTCCACATTCCTGCAGAGATGGCAGAGCAGTGGACAGAGATGTGTTGCTACTCTCAACTATGCGTAAGTCCCCAAGCCTGCCAGCCCCAGATGACATTCATTCATGCTTACATCCCACAGACAGAAAAGAGTACAGGGCTTCTTTGGTTTTTAATGAGAGGGTTGCTATGTAGGATGGGCTGGCCTCAAACTTGCGATCCTCTGCCTCTGCCTTCTGAATGCCCGAATTTCAGGCACTACACACCTGGCAACAGAGGGCTCCTTACAGGGCAACACCTTCTCCCCAAGGGGCTCCCACAGAAGAAAGCCAGTCATACTGTAGCTTTTCCTCAGGCCTCAAGAGAAGCCAAGTGCCATGCAATTACGTATGGGAAGCTTCTCAAACATGACACTGGAACCAACACAGTGAAAATGCAAGGGAGAGAAAGTCACTGAAGGAGCAGACAGGCAAGGACAGATGTGGCACCTCGTGAAACAAGGGCAACACAGCACGAAGACAATTTTCAGACGGGAAAGGGAACGGACAAGGAGGCAAGTCCTAGAGGCTGACCCTCGAATCAGAAGCCAGAGAAGCCAGAGGACATGTCCCAACACGGAGATGACACAGAGGATCCTGGTGTTATCTGGACAGTCCAGCATGAGACTGCCCTACCTGTGAACTTGGGGCTCAAGTAGGGATAGATATGCAATTAGAAATCAAGTAAACAAAATGCCCTGGGGAACAATAAGATTGACAATGACAGGGTGAACTCAGCACACTGTCTCACTCAAAGCTGTGATTAAACTCTTCTGCGAGAAGGAACATGTATGCTTGGTGGAGGGGAGGGAACTCAGGAGGTGAGGTCTAATTTTCTCTAAATCTGATAGGTCATATCTAAAGCTGGGAACAGACAGCAGCAGAAAGCCTACTTCAGGAAGGGGTACGGAAAGTGGGGAGGGCCATGGTGGCACAAGCCATCAATTACGGAATGCTGCTGTAGTTCCTAAAAGATATGCCTGCATACGTCCATACATACAAGAATGAATCCGTGAAATTCATAACATTTACAAGGGCTCACAGGCAAGAGATGTATGTACAAGGCCAGTACTGTGAACTCAGGACCACGAATATTATTCCAGTGAGGGCCAGACACAGCTCCAAGGCTCAGGGAAGGTGCAATCACAACCCTATCGCAGCACATGTGCTTTGTGCACTTGGCTCTCGCTGGTCCTGCTTCAGTACACAGCAAGAGTGAAGGGAGTGTATCTGGAGGTTTCTTCCAACAGTGACAACCGTAGGAAGTCAGTATCCCCGTGGAGCCAGAAGGGCTGCAATCTACATGAAATGATGCAGCCACCCAGGCCCTAAGATAAAGGTCTGAGCACAGACAGTGTTTCTGAAGTGCCATCAAATATCCCTTAGTCATCAGCATCCCAGGTGGGATGAACAACCAACCAGATCCTAACGGCAGGGGAATGGTTCCCTGAGGGCCGTGTTCAAACTCTTCGGAAGCAGGCAAAGCTCTGCTTCAGCAGGTCCCAGGCTTACTCTGCAAAACGCCTCCCAATGTCTCAGTGAGGCAGAGCCCATTTGCAGGGAGGAAAGGAAGGTGACAGATAGACCTGGAATCCCTCATGTGGGCAGACAGACAGAGGGGTGCCTACTTGTAAAGCCGCCTGGCACTCTTCTAGCAGGCCCTGCACCAGGTAGTACTTGGCCTCGGCTAGCAGCTCCTCGATCTCCCGGCGGCTCTCAGGCAAGGGCACAGCCCCGTCTCGAAGATAGTTGAGTATTGTCCCGAAGTGCTTCCCACAGCGGTCAATGAGGATCCAGCCTGCAGTGGGGTGATAGGGTACTTCTCAGGGGAGGTGAGCACCATGGCTGGGCACAATCCCCCCAGACTCATGTGGTCATCAGCCCCATGAGACCCTAGGACAGCTAAAGCCTGAAAATGCACTCTCAAGGACCTGGCAAACTCGAGACACCAAAACTCCAGCAACAGAGCCGATCCACCAGACATCCCTGACTGTGACCTCCGGTCGGCAGGGACCTAGCCATGACTTCACACAAGCACTCCAGGGTTAGTGACAGAAACAGAACAAGAGACTCTGCCATCAAAGGGTTCAGTTAACAAGAGATGGTGAGCGAGCTTTCACTGGATACGGAAGAATGTCTCCTGCTGGCCAGCACCAGGCGTGAGGGGAATGGGCAAGTCTAACCTCTGCTAACCAAGTGTCCTCTCCAATTGTCACTAGCTTACTTCTCCTCCACCTGGGCCCACTGGCTTTCAAAATCTTCTCCTGAAATGTGACCTCTTTGGAAGGTGTTCAGGTCAGGCCTGGAGCCTGGTGACAAGCAACAAAAAGAGGTGGAAAGGGGCAAAGACCTGTGACCTCTCATGGGAGCATGGGAAACACTCAAAAGCAGGCAGCATATGGGGATGGAGTAAGAGGGTGGAGGGGAAGGGTGGGGTAGTTAGGGAATGGGGACTAGGTTGGAGAGATGGCTCAGCAGTTAAGAGCACTGACTATTCATCTCAAGGACCAGGGTTCAATTCCCAGCACCCACATGGAGGTTCACAACCACCTGTCACTCCTGGTCTCAGAGCATCAAGATCCTTTTCTGACCTCTGTAGGCACAGGACACTCACGTGGTACACAGATTTATGTGCAGGCAAACTGTTCATACAAGAATAAATAAATCTCAAAAATTTTTAAAGCAGTCAGATGGGTAAAAGCCAGATCACACAGTGACTGCAGGCAAGGGGACTTGGTCATGCCCCCCTGACCAGTACATAGCATGGTACCGAGGGATAAGCAGGAACCGGGCTCCCACTGCCTTCCCCCTCTGCTCTCTGTGAGCAAGAACAGGTACCTCTACCTCTGACTCCCCTGTGTCCTGTCCTGGGTCGTCAGACCCCTAAGCCAGGGGGAGGGGGCTAAAAGCACCTTTTTCACAGGTCAAGTCACACGCCTGGCCACCTCATTTTGCCCCCATCTCCTATATCCAGCTCTGCCAATGGCCTCTGGTGGTTTGGTGCTGACTGCGATCTTCTGTACCCTACAAGGCCATCGCCATTTCCTCTCCTGGGCCTCCTCAGACTGCTAAGGGCAGTCTTCCTCCAGAGCCTTCAGGGAGAAACTGCCACAGCCCTGTGTTTCCTGCATGGAGCAGGAAGGAAGAACATTCAATCTATGAATGTGCTGCTAAGTAGGCTGGGATGGCAAATCCTACAGTGACCTGGAAGAACATTCAATCTATGAATGTGCTGCTAAGTAGGCTGGGATGGCAAATCCTACAGTGACCTCCAGGTAGGGGCAAGACATCCCTCTTTCTGGGTCTGAGAAAACAAGACAGCACTTTCTACTGTATACAATGCACAACACGCAGCTGGGTGGTCCAGGCCAGGGGCTGGCTAGGGAGCACACCCTTTCCCCAAGTGTGGCCTCAACCGATTCAGCCAAAAATGGCAAAAAGGGAAAAGTGGGCTCAGGGCTTCTTCAACTCTAGCATTCCAAGCAAGTCAGAGATTCCGATTTTTCTGTCAACCTCCTCATTTTTGAAAGATGGTAAATTCATTTAAATAGCTCTCAACCCATCAAAAGGCAAATAAAACATGTATATGTATGTAAGTTCAATTCAGCCTGCATGCATCCGGCCCTAGCCGCCAAGATTCTCAGGCCAAATGAGGACACAGTATGGAATGACAGTGTTACCTCCCCAACTGCTCTTCTAGGGGAGGCTTATTCTCTGCGTTTCCACAGATGCAGAGTCCCCAAGATGCTTGGTGCCATTCCAGTGTGGGGTTGGGGATCAGGATTCAGCCACTAGGAATAAGGACCCTCAAGCTTCAGGAGAAAGAGCAGTCAATGACAAACTCGGCCGACAGGAAAAGGCCTGCTTGTGTCTTGCCTTCCATGCGTGATCAGCTAAAGCTGTTGGGGAAATGCCAAGAGGCCCCAATTCCATTACCCAAGTGACAGCCCAGAGTTTCCATAAACGAACAGGCAGGCTGTGACACTGGGCTCTGGCTCAAGAACGTCAGGAAATGCTTGTGGGGAAGGCATACTTTGAACAAATAAGGGCAAAGGAGCCAGGCACATTCTCCATGAGGTTTCAATTAGCATTTTGACTTGAAATATTTTGGTTACTCTCAAAGCAGGAACCTATAGCTCACAGCTCCACCGCCTACATGGAGAACTGCAACCAGTCATCAAGCAGTTCCTTGCTCCTTGGAGCACACAGAATTTAGGACAGCTTCCAAGGCCATCAGGACATAGCATGGGCGATGCAGCCCAGAGGCCCTGACTGTGCTCCAGATGCTCAGTACCTACACAGTGGTGACAAGCCGGGGGCAATGCCAAACCCCAGCGGTCACCTGCCTGCTCCACACCTCAGTATCCCCTTAAGCTCTGTCTTACAGTCTCTTCTGAAGACGGAATGCAATGCTGGCATGCAGGTGTGACAGAGAACAGAGAGAAAGCATACAGCACAACACCAGCCTGTCGGCAGCACTCACAGTCACAGGTCGGTGACAATGAATGCACCACATCATCAGTGCTAGAGAAGACAGCTGTAGGACTGCAGGAAGCGGCAAGTTCCAGAACCCAGGAGGGAAGGGAGCCAGTGTGGCTTTCAGGGTACCAAGGTGGAAGGCTGCTGCGGGAGGGGGTTGCAGGGTATGGGCTCGCCTCATGCAAACACACTGGTGTTTCCTCTCTGGGGAAGCCTGAGATCTCCTTCTGCTTCCCTTCCTTCTCTAGGAATCCTGTCCCCACCACGCTCAGGTATTTACAACTCCAAGCCTGCCCAGTCTCCACAGTCACTCAGTTACAAACTCAAATTACCTGTTACAAAGATAGCTGTTACAAACGCAAATTCCCAGCACTGGCTCTACTGATCAAGTCGATAAGATTTGTGAGATGGCGCCTTTGAGGCACTGAGCAGCATTCTGGGAACCTAGGTTGTGAACCAAAAGCATCTCTAGACATTGCTAAATATCCCTTAGGTCGCCGGGCGGTGGTGGCGCACGCCTTTAATCCCAGCACTCGGGAGGCAGAGGCAGGCGGATCTCTGTGAGTTCGAGACCAGCCTGGTCTACAAGAGCTAGTGCCAGGACAGGCTCCAAAGCCACAGAGAAACCCTGTCTCGAAAAACCAACCAAAAAAAAAAAAAATCCCTTAGGTCACAAACAACAACAGTTCTTGTCTGAGAATTGCTGAGCCAGATCAGGACCTGTGAAGTGCAGACAGAGTTCTGCCTAGCAAGTGCGGTCCCCAGACCTGGGAAGGAGAGGTAAAGAGAAAGGGAAAGAGGAAGAAGGAGAGAGGAAGGAGAAAGCTGACTGTAAAAGCAAGTGTAAATGCAGAGGCACTGAAGAAAGTTGAGGTAAGTCAGACTGGGAGAAGATGTCTACAAATAGGATCACAAGGAAGGAGGATCCAGAATGCATACTTTACAGAGCAGCAAGATTTAAAAGGGGGGGATTGTAAATTAGATGCATGCTGTGGACTATTTAACTATGTAAAGATGTGCTCATTTGTTTAATTATGTAAAGATGTGTTGCTGTTTACCTTGCCTGCGTAAGGCACCTGATTGGTCTAAAAAAAAGCTGAATGGCCAATAGCTAGGCAGAAAAGGATAGGCGGGGCTGAGCAGAGAGAATAAATAGGACAGAGAAGTGGTGGGAGAACAAGAGAGAAAGAGAGACAGACGTCCAGGGTCAGTCAGTCAGGCAGTGACCAGCTAGCAGGCACAGAGTAGGGCATACAGAAAGAAAAGATAAAAAGCCCTGGGGCAAAATGTAGAGGAAGAGAAACAGGTTAAGTCCTAAGAGCTTGCAAGAAACAAGCATAAGCTAAGGCTGAGCATTCAGGAAGTCTCTGGGAAAGCTTGGTGCCGACACGGTCAAACCAACTGCAATAAAAGAGATGCACACACTGGAAATGAGGAAGTGCAAAGTCAAGCAGGCGCTGGGTCAGAAGAGCAGCTTGGCAGTAGTTCAGGGTTCAGCAGTGCCCAGTGCTGGCACAAGGGCAGACCACGGTGAGGCCTATGTACTGACTCTGACAGTACCCGATGCAGTGGGAGACACTGTCCCCACCTGCTTCTGGAAACAAACTAGAGAGGGACAACAGCTAAGAGCTGAATGCTGCAGAGGCTGAGGTTGGGAGGCAGGAGAGGAAAAGTCCTAGCCCTTGCCCCACAGCCCCACAGCCCCAGGGAAGAGTCAACACCCCGAATACCGGGAACAGGAAACAATTTGTTGGGCCATCAACCAGACATGTTCCATTGGCAGCAGTAAGTGTCTAGAAGGGATTGCCACAGGGAAATACCTGAGAAGGGGCTATTTATTCATGATGTCATTAGTATAATGATGAATGAACAAGAGCAAAAAAGAACAGCAAGTACTGTCTGAAGCCATACTAACAGAACATTGTTTAGTGACCTCCACAGCAGTGGTAAACGCAACACCTAAAAAAACACAGTTCCCGACCCTGGGTCCACCTGGAGATCTAGTGCGCCAGTGTCAGCCTGACACCTGTTTGCCTGGGCCTGGAGTCCCTGGGTGAGAAGACTGCCACTTCTTCTCACAGAGAAGGTACCGAGGCCATACTGTATAGACTATGTGGCTTTCTGAGAGGATGTGCAGAACGACTCTGCTCAGCCTGTGTCTACACTCCTAATTCAGAATGCGTTCAGTCAGAGATCTGAAACCTCGGGGGGGCGGGGGGGAGAAGTATTACATACCAAGTAACAATGCACTGCAAGCCAGTGCTAAAGAGAAATGGGGTGGCGGGTGGGGAGAACAGGGTCTTACCATTCCAGGCTGGCCTTGAACTCTTGACCCTCCTGCCTCCACTTCCTGAATGCCAGAACTACAGGCATGTGCTATGCCCAGTATTTTATCTGCTGCTGTGGACTGAGCCTGGCTTCAAGCAGAATCTAATTCTTCCTGCAGGAGCTGCTGCATAAGCCCATTGGGCCACTGAAGATGTTGAGGAGAGCTCATAAGAAAATTCTAGCATGGCCAGAACTCAACTTTTCAGAGAAGTCAGGGAAAAGTCTGCTCACTGCCACTGTGTCAGAAAAGGCACCCTAAAGGTGCAATGGCAAACTGCAGCACATCCACTCCTGTCCCCTGCATGGAGGCAGACTCTTCCATCTCTTCCCCTTCCAGTTTGCCCACGGCATCCAGCACTGAGACCCGGCAGCGGTCTCCAGTACTCGCGCACTCTCCTAGCTCTGCCGACATCATGAGATGAGGTCCAGAGAAAGCCGCTCACTCTGTCACAACTGCAGTCAATGGCCAGCGAGGCCAAACTGGCACCATGCCTGACACCAGGAAGGGCTCCATAAATGCCAGCGGTGACTTTGCGATGTGGCAAGGGATAAGCAGGACTCAGCCAAGGTGCTCCGCACACCCACGCTTTTCTTTACTCAGGAAGAGTGTGCACACGGTGCAGTGCTCAGGCAGTGGCAGTGCGAGAGGCGGACATGCCCACCAGCCTGGACACAGGGCCTTGCCTCAAGCCACTCTCTCTCAGTCATGCTCCAACCTAGCACATAAACCACCGGGACTCCGAAACCCTCCCTCCTCATGGGAAGCCCTACTGTGGGGTCCTCTGCTCAGCTGCCACTTCTGACGTTTGTTTTTTTAAAGCCAGAGTCTGTGTGCCCATATGAGCATATGAATATGAATGTCCACAGAAGCCACAGAAGGCCTCAGATACCAGGCAGCAGGCAGCCGTGAGCTGCCTGATGTGCGTGCTGGGAACCAACCTCTGTCCTTTGCAAAAGCTGAACCACGTGTCCAGCCCTGGCATTTCTGTTTATAGCACACCTGAGTGCAGCTGGCAGTGATGGGGTCCCCAAATCAGGGTGAATCCTTAAGATGCAGGAAGTCTATTCCTATTGTACTAAGAATGTTCCTAGTGGCTGATCTAGTGATCTGGCTTCAGTGATGGGCCCATGCCCAACCACAGAGAGTAAGAATCAGAATATCCGGGTTGGTGGTAGCTTAGCCCCACAGTGCTAGAAAAAGCATTTAACTGATTCCACAGGAAAGGCCTACACTGAGGACTAACAGAAACAATAGCTGTGAACTGCTAGACCAAGAGTTCTCCTATGGAGCAGGAGGTCTGGTGTCTGGTGGTTACACGTGACATGTGTCTGGCACACTGGTGACAACACTGCTTCCCCAGACAGCATGGGACAAAGGCTGCCCTTGGCATGCAGCTCCAACAGGAGCAGGCCTGCTGGTCCACAGACTGTCCGGCGAGCAACAAGGGCGTGAACCCCGTCTAGTTTGCAATATGGCCTTACGCCACCCAGGAGGGTTTTCTTCAAGAAGCTTCCCTCAGCCTTCACAGCTTCTCAGCTGCCCTTCCAGAACGCTGCCAGGTCTGCAACAGGGAGGACCAAAACTCACAACAATCCTGGGTTCTCAGATAACATCTGCTTCCTCCTGCAGCTGCGGTGCCATTGTCTTGATTTCCACAAACACTCTGCAGTATGGGATGTGCCGTAGCAAAAGGGCACCTCCCACCCAGAAAACACAGTTCTGAGCGTGAGCACAGCAGCAACTGGGGCGCTGACCCCACCTAGCTGGAAAAGCACTGGTAAGGGGAGCCGCCCTGGACCCCGTTTTACAGAAGCAAGCTGAGGCATGGAGCAGAATCTCGCTCAAAGTCACATAGCAGGCCAGCGAGGTCACGACTAGAAGTCCTTGTCTACACAAGTGACTCCTGCTCAGTCTAGTCTCAGCTCCAGTGCCACTTCCTCAGGAAGCCCTCCCTGACCAAGTCTAGCCTCTCCAAGTCTCTCAGGGCTTCCTGCACACAACCATGTGTACAACTACTCCTGAACACTGGACTCCAGACAGACAGACGTCCTCCAGCACTAGCATGGCTGTGGCACTCAGCTCAATGTCAAACCAGCAACCAGCAGCGGGAGGCTGGCAGGTGAACTCACCTTCACTGTCGGTGAGGACTTCCATGCGGCCACTGAACATGGCCTTCAGCATCGTGTCCTGCTTGGTGAGCGTCTGCATGGTGGTGTAGTAGAGGGCTCCCCCGACGTTCAGCTTCACATACTTGGAGCTAGGACTCGCGCCCTTGAAGGAAGTGGTGCGGGTAGCAGCTGCTGGCACCGCTGAGCTCACCACGCTTTCTCCTGACATCTCTTCCTGCCAGTGAGAAGACAGGGTCAGACACCAGGCTTCCCTCCTCCCTTCTGCTCCGGGCTGAATTCCCACAGATTTCACTCCAGATACTGTTTGGTTTGGTTTGGTTCATGTATACATTGCATTTAAAACTTTCAATGCTGAAAACCTAAGAGCTCAAAGGAGAAAAAACAAAAACAAAAAAACCCTGACTTCTGGTTTCTCTTAAAATCAGATACCAAGTGGACCAGGTAGGCAATGGTGGCTGCTGGGGGACTGGCTTCCCCCAAGGAGAGGACTGCATCCCTCAGTTCACTCACAGGCTGGCCTTGCCTACTGACCCTGCTGGCACGAGTCCCCTCTAAATCTACCTGTATCAACAACACCTGGACGGCACGTTGAGGCGGCCAAAGCCATGCCAGGGGTGTTCTCCCTTTCCTTACAGCAGCCACACACGAGCAGCTGGAAGGAGCCTCTTCAGACGGCCTTCAGATTAATGTGCTTTTGTGAGCTAGGCAGGTCCCCTACTCTTGCTCCTACAACTTCCTATGGGGGAAGTGATCTGAGCAAGGCAACAGCGGATGAGAAGGCAAATTCAGAAAAAGGAGCAATTTCCTGTCCTAGTGTTACTAGACAGCAAGATCCTACAGCGGTCTAGACAGCACCTGCAGGTACGGGGACTCAAACCAGGGCTAGTACTTGGCCCTCACCTACTGCAGGAAACTTATTTCTTAGATATGAGTCTATCAAATTCTAGAGCTTGAGCTGCCTAGGGGTGGGCTGGATCTTCTCCCTGAATCTGGAGCAGGAACTGAGAAAGAGAAAAAGCAGTCTCCACAGACAGCGTGGGCTGCCAGCACTGCAAGGCCCTGGAAAGGTCACAGAACTTCACCATTCCATGAAAGCCAAGACCACTCCACCCTCGCACCTGAACACACAAAGGACTCGGGCCTTATCTGGAATACCAGCATGACCCCGTACAGCCTCTCCTGCTGGCTGCTACCCTGCTGGTCCTGGTGCCCTAAGTGCCCTATCTTCAGGATGCAGTGAGCCGCCTGCGGACAGTGTCTCACACATATCCAGGCCACTGCTCTGACACTCCTGCTCTTCTTCCTGTGGTACCTTCCTCTCAGTGCAACCTGGATGTAACCCAGCCACACTGGGCACAGAGAAGCTCCTTCTTTCTTTTGGCTAGAGGGCACTGGCAGCATTAAAACTACAAGCTACCTGAAAATGATGGTTTTCTTATTTTTTACCAGAAAGATTTTTCCATAGTAAATGCTTACCATATCATAAATGACAAAACATCCCTCTTTCTATTAGACAGGGGACAAACAGATGCAAGCTGTTACAGCAGACAGTGAGCAAGTGATGGGAAATATGGTTCAAGGCTACCAATTCTCTTCAGGCATTTCTTCTTTTAACCCCCTCTCCCCTCCTCAACGGGGTGGAAATCCCAGCTGGGAAACTTGTGTCAGAGCCCCACAGGCTCTGTACATGTGCGCACGCGCACCCCCCCCCCCCCGTCCCCCAAAAAACTGCTTTCCAAAGCTCAGGTGGGGCTCTCCTGGGGTCTAAGGCATGATGCCAGGAGGAAAGCAGGACCCTGCACTTCCCCCAGCCCCCAGCGCTGCTCGATTAACAGTCACGGCCAAACCCATCTTCCAGAAACAATGCCACCGGGGCAGGAGATTCTAGGCATCAAGCACTTTCCAACTTTGATGACCAGGAGGGCAAAAGAAAGGCTTACAGGTGCGGGGGGGGGGGGGGAGGGCACAGAGGAGGGAGTAAGAGGAAATTTGCCCCAAATTGGAAATACTTCTACATCCTTTCAGACATAAACTTGTAACACACACGCACACACACACAGACAAAATAGTCTGCGGCAGCAGTCTAGCACCTTGCAAGGCACCTGACGTAAAACCCACAGACCAGGACATGCACACACCTGTGCACTTCCGTGTGGACACCGCATGTGCTGCATCACACCTTGTGCACAGACGGCTGGGCTCTAGAGAATGTGCATCTGTGCAGCCCCACTCTGAGAAGTCAAAGAACACTGACACACTCCAGACTTATGGCCTCGACCACTTGACTGACAGACACAACCTGAGAGGGAGGGATTGCCATCTCCGTTCCATGGCTCACAAGAGTCAGTCACTTCTCAAAGCCACGAGGTCAGGGACAAGCAAGCAAGGGATGTGGACAAGGTCTGGCTGGCTCTACGTTTTTCACGATGCTCGGTATATTTAGAGCTATGATATGTTAAGTCAAGAAAGGAAGAAAAACACAAGAAGACAAGTAACACGTAGTTAAGGACTCAGTTGTCAGACCCATGTTCAAGGCCCCAACTCTGCCACTTAGGAGTGGCAGGAACATGGGCGAGACACCTGAATGTCCCAGCCATTAAACAGACGCTGGCTTCCTCCCCCACTGCAGGAGGCTCTTCCGAGGCTGTCTCCAGCTATGAAGTACTAAGGGACAAAGGCATTAAATATCACAATGGAACCTGTGACACCAGGTCCGAAGTAGAAAATCCTAGAAACTTCCCAGAGCCCCTCACCCCGAGTCAACTAATTAGCCTAATGCCAGGAGAGACCCTTGGGGAGCAGATTCTGGCTGCATCCATGTCCCCTGGGCTCAGTGACAGTGACCTGCGGGCAGGAAGCAGGGCTGCCACAGCAGACTTCCCTGCCTTCCCTAGCAGTGCTGCTGTCTGCCCTATTACACGCTGACTTCATGAGTGAGGGATGAGCAGAGCACAGACGTGGCTACTGTGAGCGGAAGGGAACACCTCGTGATCTATGGATTTGTTTGTCTGAAACATGTCCCAGTGCTAGGTTTCTCTCCTCACCAACTCTAAATGGTGGCTCTACCTGGACCCCAGAGGAGCGTTAGAAAGACAGAATGTTTGGGTCCTGTTCACAGAAATTCTGATGTTATCATTCTTCTGGGTGTGACCCAGGAACAACTTTTTTTTTTTTTTTTTTAATTCCCCAGCTGGTCCTAATGTGAGGCGGCCAAGATGCCAAGCCTCTGTTGTAAAAGGTTCTGTACCCCTTTATTCAGCTATAATTAGCTCTGTGGTCTTGAGGAAGCTCTCTAACTTCTTACTCTGCTGGCCCAGTGAATTCCTGACCCACACATAAAAACCTACCAAAGTGTCATAAATAAAAGTCTCAATGCATGGCTTCAGAGCCCAGGGCAGGAAGCAGCCATCTGCATGCTTGAGAAGATTAAAAAAAAAAAATCCACAGAAAGGTGAGAACTATTGGTTTGAGGGGGAAATCAGACAAATAAGACAGGAAAAAAAAAAAAAAAAACCAACGCAGAGAATACCAGATCCCTGCAGCCCATCTCATAAGCAGAGGGAAACGAGCCTGAGGACCTAGCAACCCTGGTCTGCAACTCTTAGGCCATCTTTCTGTATGATGTTCACAAGAGCAATTGAACCCAAGACTCAGTTTCCCAACTTGTGAAACAGACTTTAAAGCTATATATAATCTTCCAAATACTGTTCCCTCCCCTCAAAGATAAGCAAGGGCCACCTAACCCTTCTATTTTTAGGTTTCTCTTCTACCCCTAAAGTTCCTTAAGACCATGTGTCTTCACACAAAGCTACTAGAGTGATATGTGCTTTCAAAACACTGGTGCCTGCCTGGATTAGACCCCGACCAGCTAACCAGAAGGCAGGCAAGCAGCGGGTGATGCTGCTAGTAACTTGGGCTTAAAAGGTTCTTTCAGGTGATTTGGATGTTAAGTAGCCGCAGGATCCAAGAATTCATCCCCCAGAGAAACTGAGGCACTACTCACTCACTCATGGTGGCTAAACCATAACACCTTCCTAAACTGAGGTCTCTGCTGCAATGCAGAAAAGGTTGCAGCTTCAGTCGAAGGCAATTCTCATTCTATCTCATTCATTCTCTCTCTCTCTCTCTCTCTCTCTCTCTCTCTCTCTCTCTCTCTCATATGATACAGGGTTTCTCTGTGTAGCCTTAGTTGTCCTGGAACTTGCTCTGTAGACCAGGCTGGCCTCAAACTCAGATTCACCTGCATCTACCTTCCAGGTGCTGGGATTAAAGGTGTACGCCATCCACTGCTCGGCTCTGCTAATTTTTAACAAGCTTCTCTTAACTGTCTGGTGAGGATATTGTCAATCCTGCTTTACTAGGGAAGTAAGCTAAGAATTAGAACTGTGCCAGGGCTGATACCAATTGCCTCCCTCTCACAGCAGAGTTTGTAAAAATAAGTCGACACACCCTGTGCCCAGATTGTCTGTGCTTAGGGCTGAAAACCGGGCAGCTCTGAATGAGTCTCAGGTTATGCTGCTGGCCCAGGGACGGGCTGAAGTACGAGTCTCAGGTTATGCTGCTGGCCTAGGGACTGTCTGAAGAGCTGCTGGTGCAACTGGCCTTCTTTTGCCGAAGTGTTTCTTGTTTTACACAAACTGGAGCTGATCAAAGCCATATATATGTCTTCGGTTTGGGACTGATCTTCCAGGGAGTGAGTGGTAAACAAAGGACCTGGATTGATCTCTCCCCATCGCCACCCAAGGACAAAGAACCATTCAAAAAACAGACCCTTGAGAATCCCAGGTAAACAGAAACCAGTCCACAGCCCAGACAGCAACAGGAGAGACATCCTGGGATCCCGAGATGTGGTCACCGAAGGCCTCAACGGAAGTGACTAGATAGGTACCCTGATGCCACTTGAGGCTAGACTCTGTGGTCAAGATACCCTGACCTCAGACACCTGGCATCCCTCCCTAGAATTCCAAGCATTGAATCTACAGTCGTTTCGCTCCAGACTGTAGGCTTAGAGGAACATGGAAGCCCTTTTCTGTCTTGCCCGAAACCCAACTACTCAAGACACAACTTCCAAGAGTCCCACACGCCCTGGAGTCTTCATTTCCCACCCCGAACGTCAGTTTCGATGCCGTCTCTTTGTTCTAACAATCTTCCAAATCCCATCTCCAATCAAGGCTCGAGACTCAGAGCACGTCCGCTCACCGCCCTGCACACCTCCGCAAGTCCAAACGCACCTTCGCAGACCACCCCCCCAGTTCCACATCCAAGGCCCTTCCCCCGCCCGACCTCGCCCGCACGCACTACCCAGCACCCTCCGCTATCGCGCCCGCCGCCCACCGCGCCTAGTCCAACGGGTCCCTCCCCTTCGGCCTCGCCGCCGCCCGCCGCCCTCGCTGGCCCGTAGCCCCCCGACAGCGGCCACCGCCCTCACCATGAAAAGTCGGAGGACGCCGGAGTCTACAAATCCGGACTGAAAGGCAGGAAACACCCAGCTCACTCAAGGCAGGGGGCGGAGGCGGGGCCGGGGCGGGCACTTCCGTTGTCCACACCCCACTTCCGCCCCGCAGAGGGACTCTTCTTAAAGTGTCCTCTGGAGCCCAACATGAGCACTCTTTGCCATTCAACCACTCCCTCTCGGGTGGGTTCCACTTCCCCATGGCTGAGTCAGATATTTATCCTACTTCTGGATGTTTCTTATTTTTGTCTGCCAAAGAAGAGGACAGGATGGAGAGAGGTTTTCTTTCCCGGGCCAAGAAACTGTACGGAACCATTGTTTCTCGGAACTGTATAATTGCTTCTAGGCGGAGTTTGGAGCACAACACCCGGGGCAAGATGGCGGCCGGGGTTCGGCCGCTGCCCCGGGTCTGGCCGGACTCGGGGGTATCGGGCTGAGGCGGCGGCATCTGCGGGCCGGACCCGGAGCGTGGGGGCCTCGAACGGATAAAGATCTCCGGCCTGCGGGTAGCAAGTGGAAACAGGATGGTCGATTCTCTGGGTGGCGGGACCGAGGACTGAGGGAGGTTGTCTGGGGGCCGAGTCTTGGCTTAGTGAAGTCGAAAGGGGAGGTTCTGGGGGCTGACTTTTTGGATCCAGGGATCTCTCCGTGGCCCCTTTCCATCAATTTTCTTGTTGGAGGCAACTGGCCTTAATAGCCAACTATCTATGGACGAGACTTACTTGTTATTGTCGTTGTTGATGTTGGGCCTTTGGAGGCACCCGAAATGGAGTTGAGTTCTGTGCGCTGGCTGTGTGACCTTGGGTAAATCCAGTCACGTCTCTGACCCTGAGTTTCCTCCTTTTTAAATGGAGCATTTAGATTGTTTTATAATACATTTTAGAGTGGCTCCTGATAGTTCTTAATACAGAAAAACTTGACCCTATTTTTGACCGAATGCCTAGCCGCAAAGGAGCCTGGCATTCTCAGCTTCTCTTTATGGTGCCATTCTGTAAGTGGGGGAATCCTGAATCTTGTTTGTTTGACTTGCCAGTAAGTAATTCCTTTGGGGTTCAAATTCAGGAACCCGGAGGACACAGTCAAGTTTTGTGCCCTCTCTGCATTTCGCTGTAGATTTCTATGAGCCATTCCTTGGATTATTTGAGACCTATTGCTTATTCTTGAACTAAAAATGGTTTCATTAAGACCCATTGCCTATTCTTGAGCTTTTAAAATTGGGGTATTGTAACCTAATAGGATAAGGCCGATGTAAAGGAAGGGCAAGTTAAACATCCGTACAGTTTCTGTTTTGTGACCTGCCCTTAAAAGGTGGCCATTAAGCCTGACGACCTAGCTTTTTCTATCAGAAAGGAAAATCGTTCCAGCAGTATGTATTCATTTTACTACACAGTCTGTACCCTTATGCGGTTTTACGTCTCTCTTTGAAGTTAGTCCCATCCAGAGTAGCTGGGTTTTAAGCAGGTTGCCTAGGTATATAGAGGTAACGCAGAGTCTGAATCTTGTCTGTTAGCATTGAAAGCTTGGCTCTGACACTTATTAATTGTATAACCCAGACTAAGTCTTGGGGGTGGGGTGGCAAGAATTGATCTTCTCACAGTGTTGCCGTCCTTGTTAGGTGAGACACTTAGAGGACTTATTTTCCCTTCCAGATGCTCTGAATCCTTACCAACTTATTGTTTTCTAAACTCCCTTCCTGTACACCTCTTATTTCCCTAATCAGATTCTAAGCTTTGTAAGGACAATGTAGTAAGGTTTCCTTAGATATGATCAACTTCCAATTGCCAGTTATTAATATTTTCCCTTTCATTCCTAATCTCAACAGCGCAGTGATTAAATTAAGGTTAAGAAGGGCAAATGTCCCATGCCCTCCTTTAGCAACCCTGAGATTGAGTATTGTTATTATCCTCAGGAAACAAGGGCCTAGAGTACTCAAGGGACTGTAAAATAAGAGGTAGGATCAGGACTAGAAAGGTCTGAGGGCCATTTTCTCAGATCTGAGTCCTCTCTGTCACAGTCTTTGCTGTGTTTCTCTGTGACTTTCTGGGAATGAGGACGTACTACTCAGTCGTGAGTCTTGATTCCTGGATTGTGCAAGTGAGGAGGTATAGGAGAGAATGAAGAAAACCGCACACTTAGACTATTGTGCAGTGTAAATAGAAGCCGTGTATAAGATTTTTTTTCATGGGAATAATCCCAAGAAAGGGATCAGAGCCTGGGAGGTCCTGGGGAGAAGTGAGCACTGTCAGGTACAGTCTGTGTGCAGCCATTTGTTTTTCCACTGGGAGGGCGTGCCTGCTGCTCCTCTGTCCTGCCTGCTACTAGGGATCTCTTTATTCTTTTTTTAAAGATTTTTAAAAGTTTTATTTTAAGTGTATGAGTGTTTTGCTTGCATGTATATATGTGCATGCCCATGACCAGGAGAGGGCATTGAATCTTCTAGAACTGAGTTCTGGTTCTCTGCAAGAAGAGCCGGCACTCACAGCCCTGAGCCAGCTCTGCAGCCGCTAGTAGGATCATCTTGAGGAGAGGACTTGGTGTTGTAGTCGAGCCTTGAGCCCTGCTCACACCTCTCAGGAGCTTGACAGTTCATCATTTCAACAATAGGCCCAGGGGTTTGTGGTCCCAAGTGCTGGGTCTGACAAACCTTAGTTCATCTGGGATAGGGAAACAGCTTAATGCTGCAGATGGGATGATTAGAAAAAAATAATAAACGGGTTGGGGAGAGATGAGTGGTTGAGAGCACTTGCTCCTCTTGAAGAGGACTCAAGTTCTAGTCCCACATCACATGGCTCATCTCCAGGGGATCTGACACTCTCTTTAGGCCCTCCTGGGCACTGGACTTACATCCTCACAGACAGACACACAATTGAAAATAATGCGAAAAAGAAAATCCTTTTGTGTCTGTAAAAACAATACATCTGGGCTCTGTTAACAGCTCCGAAGAACCATGGTACACACATGTCTGTTTTCATGACAAGCATCAAACCTGATTATCAAAGGCAGAAAACTCTGGGACCCTTTATGAGTAGGGTTGACAGAGCCAGAGGTGGGAGGAGTGGGCTGGTGCCTGCTGTGTGTGAGACTCAGACCCATCATGTACTTCTTCTGTGAAGGGGGGGGGGAGGCTCCTCATAATCCCACAACACAAAATGGCCAATTTGTTTTGTTTTTGACCCTTTTACCACGCTAGAGATCAGACCTGAGGCCTCAACTCTGTTTCATTGCAGTGTGGTCTCCAGTGTGCACATTTTCTCGCCCTTCCACTGAGAAGTGCAAGCCTGTGCTCTCCCAGGCAGCCGTCCTTGCACTTCTGAGGCATAAACATTTTTCCAGAGCATTGAAAATGTGAAGGGTGATTGTCTTTTAACATTGTAACCTCTTGGAGTTACTTTTGAAGTAGTGTCACATTTAGAGGAGACTTCAGTAGATTTAGAGGGCTTGTTTTAATGAGTTAATTTTATGTGCATTGGTGTTGTAACTGCATGTGTGACTGTAGAGGGTGTTGGATCCTCGGGAACTGGACTAACAGAAGCTGTAAGCTGCCATGTAAGTGTTGGGACTTGAACCCAGGTCCTCTGGAAGAGCACCCAAATGCTTTTAACTGCCGAGCTATCTCTCTGGTCCCTAAACGGTTTTTAAAATCAATCAACTATATTACTTGCACTTAGTAACATTGGGATGCCACACCTACAAAACAATATTAATTCTAATTTTTTCTTATGCCAGAAAACCAACTCCTCTGAAACCAGAGGCTTGCGAGGTCACTGATGGTCACCTAGCATCTCCGCTGTACAGGCAGGTTCTCAGGTGAGCTTCCGGGCCTGGCAGAAGAGGGAACAGTTGGGGCTTTCTGCCTCTCTAGTTCTAGCTCTTTCCCTATGGTTAGCAGATTATGCTGGTCTGTTTCAGTAGTTGCTGATGGCACTGGCTGTTGTAGAACTTTGTGGTAGTGTGTCTGACTAGCCTGCACAGAACAATGTTTCCTTGAGTGTTGCCGGTGATAGATAGCCCAGCATGCTGGCAAGTCCCTAGTGTCATTTGACAGGCGTGAGTCAGGTGAGGAAAGGGCTAGCGGTCCCTGGATGTATGTTCATGTGACAGGAATCTAGTTCCACCTTTTTATTCTAGATGTGTTTCAAAGTGGCTGCTACTTTGGGTGAATTAACCTGATGAAAGATGCTTTTCCAAAACTCCGGGTTTGCGTTAGTCATCTGGGCTGATGAAGCCGTGTTTGGGGATTGCTAAAGAAGTCACCCAGTTGTGAGGCTCCATGGGTCAATGCTGTCAGTCAAAGCCACCCGCTTGGGGCAGAAAACAATTACTAGTGATCCTGTACTGTTTGGTGTTCTGCCCTGCACAGCACCTGTTAGTGACGAGAGCAGTTCCCCTGTGTGGCCTGGCCGCAGAGTGTGATATGTAGTGTCCCCTATCCAGATTAATTTTTTTAGTTTTTTTTTTTCATATTTATTTATTTATTATGTATACAATATTCTGTCTGTGTGTATGCCTGAAGGCCAGAAGAGGGCACCAGACCTCTTTACAGATGGTTGTGAACCACCATGTGGTTGCTGGGAATTGAACTCAGGACCTTTGGAAGAGCAGGCAATGCTCTTAGCCACTGAGCCATCTCTCCAGCCCCCCCATCCAGATTAAATGGGCTGTCATGGCTGCTGGAAATATGCTTGGTGGAAAAAGCCCTTGCCATGCAAACATGAGGTTTAGAATTCAGGTTCCCAGAATCCACCTGTGCTGGGCAAGTGTGGCACTTGACTGTAATCCCAGCACTTCAGAGGCAGAAATGGTGTTCCTGAGGGCAATTCAAAATAGGTAGATCATGTGATTTGTGAGCGGTGGGCTCAAGTGAGAAACCCTACATTAAAAAATAAAATGGAGGGGGCTGGAGAGATGGCTCAGTGGTTAAGAGCATTGCCTGCTCTTCCAAAGGTCCTGAGTTCAATTCCCGGCAACCACATGGTGGCTCACAACCATCTGAAATGAGGTCTGGTGCCCTCTTCTGGCCTGCAGACATACACAAAGACAGAATATTGTATACATAATAAATAAATAAATATAT